ACCCACCAGTACCTCCTTGCCCGACAAAAATCAGGCACCAACACGGAGCTGATGATTGCATTTTAAAAGGGTCCCATCCCCGACGATGGCCTATCACGAATACGGAGCGTCTTAAAAGCCGAGTAGACCCTGTCTGGCCCTGGCTTAAAATTAACGCTGATAACACATTCATCCTCCGTGATAGAAACTTACCTAAATTCACTTCGTTTTGCTCTTTCCGAGGGTCGGTGAGACCGGGTATCTAAGAGCGGTACCGTCATTCACGCCGGCACTTTTCTCCAGTCGCGCCTAAATATCTAAATGAACTGTCAAAATCGCCTGTCCTGGAATCATATGCAGAGAGAAATACTTCCCAAAAATAGCGAGAGAAAAGGTTGCTGATAGATTGAGATGATCGTAAGGCGTGTGAAATCTGCGGCCGTTCAGGTAAACGCCACCTCGACGAGGAGCATGATCAGAAAAGACTTTCAGAATTCAGTCAACAAAATGCCAGCCGTCGAGGCTCACACATCCATATGCCGTCGTGACCGATTGCGAGTCATTTGGGGTTGATGGAAATATGCGATGGACCAGAAATCATAAATGATAGGGCTTAGAAAGTCAAGGATGCACCTATTGCACACAAGTCAATATGTTACGGACGGCGGACCGTCTCCGACCCGAGGATTCTTCCACTTTGATCTGCTTTGTTCTCGAATCAAGAACCCAAATCCATCAACGCGGCATAATATGCGAATCGTCCTGGATATACTTTAGGCAATTGTCACTGATCCATGTGATGCGTACGGTAGCGGGGTGGAAAATATACCGTGAGACAAGGTGAGATCCAGTTCGCCTAGTTCCGGAGGGACACCGTTATTGCTGGTGGACAGACAGAAAGGACCAGCAGACGACCGTGATTCGATTGAAATCAATCACCGACTCCTGAACACGTAGAACAAACTGAGAATAGGTACCCTACGAGCTGAAAATACAGATTCAGGTCCGCTATCACCAAAGTATCAAAGCGAGATGTTCCACTTCTGAAGAACAATTTTAGGCATAAAAGATTTGATCCAGTTCCAGGATACCCTCCCGCGGAATGCCATGCGGAAAATAATCCTCATTGCGATGCGTGGGATGTCCCTGTCAAAGAACCGGAAAAAAACTCGAAGGAAGGTACAGATGCTACTCACGCTGGCATTGAATGAGAAATAGAATAAAGATGTGCCATCCCTTCTGATTGAGTGCTAGGATCTTCCCGGAGACAGCAAAGATCGGTATGATCCCGTTTTATCCCAAAGCGAAGAGAAAAATTGAAGCTAGAAGGTCCTTTATCTGCGCCATGTGAGGTATTCATTTGAGATAAAGTTTAAGAGCGTATGCATGGGGGAAAGTTTCAAGTGAGACAGGATCGAGGACGGCCTAACACACGGCAACAACAGAAAACGGCGTGAGCATGGCTGCCGGACAATCAGTCGGCCAAAGAAGATGTGGGAAATTGTGCCAGATAGTGAGGAAGAGAACAGTAAGATCGTGGTCGACGTCAGGCAGAAAAATAATAGGCTAAGAGAGGTCCTAAGGTAAATGAACGAAGGATTGAGAACAAGGTGCCTTGCGTGTTTGGCTTCCGGAATGAGTCGGCAACTATCCCGGCAATCATTGTTTGTCAAGAGTCTCAATGCAGCGGATTAGTTTTCTTCCCCTTGCGGCCACCATCGTTCGAAGTGGCTGGAATACCCCTTCCGGTTGCGGCCTCATTCATCATAGACACAATCTCTCGCCAGAAGAAAATACACCTACTCAGTATTTTCAAGAAATAATGATTAAGACCACAGAGCCAAATGTGAGTTTAGCCGAGGATGTATTCTATCAGCTCGAAGGGTTGGGATAAATCCTATCTGTAGCCTGATTCTCCATGGTGTCCAGGTAGACTGTATCGGATGATCACCCCATGCTTGAATGAAATATAAATCAAGACGATAGAGCCAAGTACCAGCCGAAGATGTTTTTATGGCAGACGACCCTCACTTTCGCATTATGGTATGGCATCCAGTTATAAGTTCTGAATAGCACTTCGGACCATTTACCAAGTGCTACTCGTATCACATGAACATCGTGTTAGCAGCGTGCACAGGTGATTACGATCCATCCATGAAGACCCTTGTTAATTGATATACACAATGCGAGTGCCGTCGCACTTCCCGGCCTCTAATGGCGGAACGGAACGACCCTTCTCCTCCACGTCGCGACTATTCAACTGCAGTCCCCACGGGAACTAGGAACGCAAGGTATTACTGCATTGCGCTGCGTAACCTTGCACTCTGATTAAGTGTTAGAAGCACTTTCTTGCACAAGATCAAGTTGAACATTAATCACCGTGAGCACGTGTATTTTGTCGTCACTTCTACCTCTCATATCCGCACGTAGACTCAAACGAATATATGGCCAACTGTAATTCGCCTCAAACACTGATGCATAGATGATGACCATGAATTGAAGGGGAACGCCTCTTCATTAAATTTCATTCCCGTGCACGGTGAGTCTCCACCTCTCATTCTCACACGTTTTCCAGGACGAGACGGAGTAAATGGCAGGAGAAGGTCGTAATGACGTCGCTTATATTCATCACCTCAAGGTGACGCGCGAATCCGATATTACTCTGACGTTATTGGCGACCCCAGTCCATTCAAATTATATTGCCTGCCGCCCTGAAATACACCGCCCGACTGTGCTCTCCCGATTGTCGGATGGTGAGAAATGATATCGACAGTTGCAGAAGCACCAGGGGTGCCTGGTTGCCCTGGGTTCGGGCCATGATGAACGAATGAACGAACGGACAACTCGTCTCTTCCTCCCGATACGGCGAAAACCGACATTATATCACTCATGGGGGAGCGGACGACCCTGTGGCGGAGACACGGGCGTGGCGGCAGGAAAGCGGGTTAGAATGTCGCAAGCGAGGGTTGCAGAGACAGAGAAGCACTGAGAGTGACTGACGTGGACGGGCGACATAATATAATGGTATTGTAGTGGCCATAGGACTACAGGATGATCAATAGGTATGTAGTCCGAATACGACATAAATTACTGATGATAGTAGCGAAAGGGTATTATAATGATATGATATTATCTGCAAATGAGTGAGTACGTGGTACAGAAAACGAGGAAAGGGAACGATAGTAGTAGTAGTAGGTAGTAGCCGAGGATAGCAAAGACGTTTTAGCGAGGACGTGACGATAGTTCGTGAAAAGCCAAGAATGGGTAGGATACGTATTCATTTTCAATCATGACTGGTCTTCTTCTGGAGGTGGGGTTGGCTCGGAGGGGACGATGGTACCACGGACGGGGTCGTACCGTCCCGAGCGCCTCGGAGCTGTAGACGTAGACGTAGACGCGGCGGCGGGAGCAGGAGCAGTAGTAGGAGGTTCATCCAACGAATAAGAGTACCGCCTTGCGTGAACAGGAGATAGAACCGTTCCGCTCCCTGAACTCGGTCGTGCCCACGTCCCGCCAAACCTGGGTGGTCCCGCTTCGCGTTCCCCCGGACCCCATTGCACAGGTGGAGGGAGGATCCGTTCGGGGGATGGGGAGCGGTGATACGAGCGCGGTGGAAGTGGCGCCGGACTACCACCACCACGAAACTGCCCCGGGCTAGCACCACGGTAAGGACCCGGGCTCCTGGAGAACGGACTGGCACCGCGATATGATGCCGATGATGGGCGGGGGCTAGAGCCGCTTGGGAACGATAATGGAGGCAAAGTCCGTGAGTAGTCGATACGACGAGAGAGGGACGGGGGAGGGGGAGAAGGAGGGTAAGGCTCTTGGTGACGGGAGTATCGGAATGGGCTCTGTTGCGGTTGTTGCGGCTGGAAGGACCTCCCGGGCATCCCAGGTCCAAGGAGCGAAGACGAAGAAGGTTCAAAGTACGGGGGAGGCGGGGGCGGGGCAGGAGCAGGAGGATAGCCATAGTGAAGCGGGAAAGAAGGCGGGACAGGATGAGAGGTAGAAGGGAACGGCCCGTATTGAGGCGGACGCGTCAATTGAATATCGCTTTGGCTGCGTGGGCGCCGAGCTTTTTGGCGTTGGTTCTAAAGCAAGGTTAGACGGGATTAGGATCGAAGAAACGGGTGGTGCTTACTTGAAACCATATCTAAGCATAGCTTAGTTTACGTTGAAGAAAAGAAAGGGCATTGCCACTCACTTGAACCTTCCTCGCACTCAGTCCAATAGACCTTCCCACTTCCTCCCTCATTGCTGTCGTGGGGAATCGTGACTAAAAGCCTATCAGCACCGATCCCAACATAGCCAGTAGCTACTCACCTGGGCCAAGAGAGCATGCAAAACTGCTGACTGGTGAGGTGTCGTAAGAGTGCGCGTGCGCTTCTTCTTCTGTGTCGGGGGCGGAGGCGTAGGGTTTTTCTCCGTATCACCCTCTGAGGAGCTCCCCACCGAGCGCCGGCGAAGGCGTTTCGACATTCGTTCCTCCGTCTCTGGTTCTGGTTCTGGTTCTCGGCGGCGAGTTCGCGTGATACCGGTGCTCGTGCTCGCCTCAGGCTGTGGAGAAGGCGCGCGTCGACGTGAAGAAGAAGAGGGGTCGTGTGTTCGTGACGAAGTTGCGGTAGTTTGTCGAGTAGTGTTGTCTGTCGGCGGAGGCGATCGTTCCTCCCTCGACATCCAGGACACAAAAAAAGGGAATAAAAACTATTGACCAAGAAAGAGAAAAAGCAGAAAAGAGAAAACCGCCGACGAATTAAAAAAAAGGTAAGGATTTGTATACCCTCCTCAACACATTCTAGTCATCGGGGAAGGGAGAATGGAAAAAAAGGAGAAAGCCAGGGTAAGCGTTCAGATCAACGACGAAATTACATTAATGGTAACAGCACCCGCGGGACCTAGAGCCGAATTTTATCGCCACCCTGTCCCTTGGCCCTTCACGTCATAACCCAATCTCGGATTGAGTTGCGATCGGTAACATTTATTGTTGTACCTCGATGTGGGAAGTATACGCTTTGTTGGCGAGTATGGTCCCGTAAGGTTAAATTTATGAAAAAGGGTTCTTCCCCGAGTGCTCCGACGGTTGCGCGCAGTCCTGTGATAGCAACCAACAGAAGGGTGGGAAGAAGGGGGCAAAAAAAGGACCACTCACACGTCACGGCATTGACATTGATGTGTGACATACACCAACGACGACGAAGTTTAAGGGCCCAGGGAGGAACTTTCCAGAAATGGATTCCTGGCTTGCCCTTGTTGCGGGTGTAGCATACGAGAGCTCACGTCCATAGCTGAAGAAGAAAAAATGGAAGAACCGTCTCCATGTCCCAACTCAGACCATAAAAATTCTCCGGTTTTTGGTTTTGCATTCCGTCATCCGGCATTTGTGGGTACCCTGGCTCGACGCCACCGATGATTGCATGACGACGATGCTCGGACGGGTTTATTTAATAACGGGTGTCAATTGAAGCGACTATTAAATGTATAATGGAATACCCAAGACATTACACCTCCCCTTCTCAATAACGGCGCAAGACCTCCCCCGGAGACAACGTACGCATTAATGAGATATGTTACGCTTTACTCACCGGTCGTCATGGGAAGCCATTGAACCTAGGCCCCGCCACACCTACTCGCGATGGGGGCTGACATTGCAAATCTCCCTCGCAACGTTGACATCTCCCCCCGCTCTAGCCCCCCGCTCCCCCCGATATGTTTTCGATCATCTCGGAGGAAGACGCTCTAGGATTGAGCGGGGGGAAGGGTTCATAAACATTAACGTTAAAGGTTAATAGAGACCATAAAGGGGGGAAGTGCGCAGAGGGGGGTATTTAATTATGATAATCGTCGGGCGGGAGGAGGATATTGCCAGTGTCGTGTCAATCCTGGGGTATTAGAGGGATCGGCGAAAGACGCCTCCGAGGTTCAACCCTTCATGAAATGAGTAATGAGGGTGCGATTGTCGAGCTTAAAACCTACAAGGGGGCAGTAAGTTGATGTGATCGTAAACGTGGGCGATTTTCATTGCCGGAGATGACTTGGAGGGGTTGATGAAGGGGGAAAAGCTTACCTTTTTTAAAAAAGACACCGCGACAAAAGAAATTTGACGTAAGGGCGGTGAATTCGACGGAAAATCACAACACTATGAATGATTAATTGATTTCGAAAGCCTTGGAAGAAACCCTACCATGCATGGGAAGGCCTGCACAACTTCATGGATTGATCGAAAACGCGTTTGGGAGGAAGGAGCACGAGATCCGTTACGATCACCGTGTGCGAATATGATATTTTGACATGACGCGTCAATTGAGGACCCTCATCTTATCTTTACGATCGTAAACGTGTTTCAGAACAGGAGAGAGGGTTGCGCTTTTTTATGAGACGGTCCAGCCCTCGATCAGGATGATCGTGATGAAAACTACGCATTGAGAGATAAGAAAGAGGGAGGATGAACGCGACATGGTTGGGAGGAACATTGGATGATCGACCGGCAACGTGGAACGTGAAACGCCGGGAGCCAATATTTAGGAGAGACGCGTCAGAAAACGCGGAAAAGAGGGTTAGGGTTTCAAGAAAATCATTTCACACGTTAAAAACAATCATGAGAATGTAGAAAGCGCCCAAGCATTGACGCCTCCGAAGTCATCGACGAGCTGAGGGCAGAAGAGGAAGGACCGGCAAACTCCGAATCTGAGCGCCCAGCCAAACAAGACTAACTTTCCTTTCTACTCCCAACTGTGACGCAGAAACTCCTCAGATTCCTGATGGATTGATACTGCCACCGCTCTGCGAACTCTAAATCTAATTCTGCGCATTCACATCCACTTCGTTCTCCAAATGGACCGATGAAACGCTGAGTCAGAAAACACGAGGAGGGGGAATTGCAACCGCGGTAGATACCGCTGCTATGCAGGCCAAATTGAAAGTAATTAACCTGGGATGGTTGGTATCTTCGTTCAAAATGAAGCCATAATGGACCCCCGTCACTACGTTTCGCCTCGATAATTGAATCCCTGCGCCACACGTCGTACAAAGGTAGCGCCGATGCTCGCAGAGAGGCGATGATTTTCTGACCCAGGGTGACGTCTGCAAAATACCAATACTCGCTGCTAAAGTCGACGAAGACAAGGCATACGGATGCGAGTTCGAACGCTCAGTGCAGGCATGGATTATCTGCGCCCGCTCTGGCCGCTGTTTACCTCGTCCTGGCAATAAATGCATAAAACTCTGCTCAGCCACTCCTAGTCTCCTTAACCATGAAACTATATACATCCGGCGTAGCTCTCGTCACTGGTGCTGGTCAGGGTATCGGCAAAGCCACCGCCCTCTCCTTTGCAGAATCCGGCGTCCGTGGGCTAGTCCTTGCTGGGCGAACACCCGCCCCCCTCCACGCTACCGCCATCGAATGCAAAGCCATCGCCGAGAACCCCGAATTTGATGTCCTCGTCGTCCCCACCGATATCAGCATCGAGGAATCCGTCAAGAACCTCATGAAAACTGCCGTAGACCACTTCGGACGAGTTGATTACTGTGCGAACGTCGGCGGAGTCAGTTGGCCTCTTTCTCTTCTCTCTCACAACTCAAGCCTTACGTTCTTTTATAGACGATGGGAACCAAGATGAAGTTCTCCTCTATACCCACCGAGGATTGGCTTGCTATTCAGCAGACGAATATTAACGGCATCTTCTGGCTTGTACGAGAGCAAATTAGCGTCATGGAGAAGCAAGAACGACTGGTCACGCCTATCACCTCTCCCAAGCGTCCGGCCGAGCGTGGGAGTATCGTCGTGCTCAGTGCAGCGGCAGCAGTGATAGCCTTGCCTGACGGAGGAGCTTATACACACACGAAATACGCAACAAACGGCTTGACGAAAGCTGCCGGTTCGCCTATTTCCCCCTCTTCCTTCCTTTTTACTAAAACACCTTTTTCTCTCAGCGCAAGACCACGCCTCGAACGGTATCCGTATCAACGCCATTCTCCCCGGGTACATCTACACCGAAGGACTGGCCTCTCACCCCGCAGCCACACCAGAAGCTGCCAAGCGGATCGTCGACGGGTGCCCTCTCGGACGCTTCGGCGAAGCAGGCGAGATTGGGGACCTCATCGTCATGATGAGCTCACCACGGAACGGCTTCATGATAGGGAGCAGCGTCTTAGTTGATGGCGGGCAGACGTTGAGCGGGGAGTAGATTCCTGCAATGCAATTGTTCTTTCTTTGCTCTGCTGCCTGATGTCTGTGTGAACTTTCGATACGGGACCTGAGGTACCGCGCGACGAAGGGCCAGACCATACGACCTCGAGCCGAAACGTCACAATTTAATCGTGGCCTTATCACTGGGGGAGAGTCCTGTCCAGGCAGTCATTCATTGCGGCAAGGCTATCATTTCTCGCAGATATTCCGTTCTCTACCTGCCGCCTGCGGCCTCCTCTTGATATATCAAGGCTATTACCGAATAGCTTGCTACCGCATGGCCCAATCTTCCTTCCAGTAACTGGGAGCGGTTGGCCCAGAAGGGGGTAACCTGTCATATATCCACCTCGACGTTCTATATGTTCAGAAGCTCTGTCACCATAAGCATCTTTTCACGCGTGGTCTTCATAGCCTTCGGAGGGAAAAAGGTACGAATATCTGGATTCCAACAAAGAACACTGAGAATTCGTCGTCTGTCTACGACAAATCTTTCCGTCAATTCTGTTCACCATTCTTGCGTCATCTTCCATTTCCTACGTGACGTGTTGGTACGCTACTTAATGCATGATTCCTGTTGCACCATTCAGAACTAAAGGAACATCTGAGCACACACCCCTTCAGTCGACCAACCGACCTACAAACCCCGTCCGTCCAATGCCGAAACAAGTTCTGCGTTCCTTACTTCTTCGTTTCTCGACCGCATCTTGGGTGATCGTCAACGTGAGCCAGGTCGTTTTGAACTACCCTTTATTTTTACTAAACTGCGCGTAGCTAGGTATTACTCTTCAGAAGGAAGGTACATGTTGCTGTCGGTCGATTGCACTTCGAGACTTCGCTCGATACATGGAGAACGCGGACACAGAGATGCATAAGGTCCCGGTACTCGTCCACCGCCGACATATGGTGATGGAAGGCAGGAATGATCATCGCATACCATGTCGACGAGGAATTGATGGCGAGCCAGAGGTCTTCTTAGCCCAAATATTGCACGGATCTTGGTTGCTGGACGTCCGGCCCTTCTCATGGGCATCAAATTGAAAACATCCGCTCCGTTCTATCAATTCATCGAGACACAGTCCCTGCATCTAATGGTGATTACTTTGTGTATACTACCTGACGTCCTATTCAAATGCCTGTATCTTTCCTCGCTACTTCTGGTAACTCTCAATGTCTGCGTATGGCTTTCGAATCCCGACTTCGCCTAGCACCCTGTTGAATATCGTGCTTCTGTTTAATTTACGTGCATCGATAATCAAAAGTTGCCCCAGAAACGGCGGATGCGTACGTTTTGATAGAAACCGGAAGCTACGACAACGAAGAAATGATCTGTGTTGCTGGAGATCATCATCGCCCCAGATTAACAACCGCGCGGTCAACCCTGAGCTGATTGATGGAACGCGGGACTCTGTTGCTGCGAGAGACCCGGAATAGATGGTGAGCAGTCTGAAACGACATTGTGGACGACCCGATGACTTTGCATCCCAGCGAATGACAACAGAAATTGTACTTTATATCAGAAGGATAATATATTCCTCGACTGCGAGGCCAGTCCCGTTGTCAGCGGAGGCTACGGCTCTACTCCAGACTCCTTATCCTTTGGCCCTTTCCATATGCTCAAGGAGTCGGAGTCTCCATCATAATAACGTACACAGTTCCTCTTCGTACCTCTCGAGCACCCTCATAGGGCTGGTACACAGAACTCGTGTCGAAGCAAAGAGGACAGATCGTGGAACGTCGTCTTCAGGACAGGTTAGATGACAAGACAGGAGAGACATGAAGTCAGACGACTTCTCACTGAACACGAGAGTAAGTTCCCTCGCTCAATTTTAAGATTTCCGGCGACACCATCACCGACGCATGAATTACACAGGTTGAACTGCGCAGGCGCGTCTGCTCTCGATTTCTAGGAGGATTTTTTCACTGACGAAATCTTGCTCGTCTACCTCGTAGATGATCTTTCTCAGCAGTAGTATCCTCAGTAATTGATTCCGTGAATACTACGTTATTCATCGCAACATTCCGGCAGCTGGGAGATTCAATGTTGGCGTACGTATGGACTCTCAAGCGACCGGGCGGAGTTTGATTGGCATTCGTAGACAGTCACCAACGTCCAGTGAGCAGTTTCGCGGGAGGAGAATTAATTCTTATTCACGGGAGAAGGTGGAATCTAGGGGTGGTTGAGATGCAATCTCCTCTTTGGCCTTGGGTGTGTGATGTCATATCAGCCCAAGTCCAGATACACACGAATCGTACCAACCCCCTTCATACCGATGTCACAAATGACGTTGGCTGTTCTTTAGAGATCAATCTACTTATCACCGCTTCACAAGGAGTATTGAGGAGCGAGTTGAGCATTCTTTTCGTTCGCAAAAGAGTAAACCGCTGCATGCCGGGCGAAGCTCGAAGGAGAATGCCGCCATCCAGAAACCCCACCAGTGGTCCCGGCCTTATTGATGTAGAATAATTGTTCACGAAATTAGGCTACCTCCATCGCAAAGTCTTTGGAATATGGTCGAGCTTCTTCGTCATCTCTTCCGTAATAGTTATAAACCGAGAGAAGAGATGCGGGCTCTATAGACTACTGAGGGGGACTTGTTATATCGTGTAGTAGATTATTAAAATAGGATCTCATCCTACTAAACTGAAACACCGTAAGTGTCACAGCGCCGGATTCCAAAAAACTGCGTGGGTAAGATCGCGTACGTTCTGTCCATTTTCCACATCCCCAATTGCAACCGAATTACAACACGGAGAGTGTGTTGCAAGGACAATATGACCTGGAATGGTGATAATAGCATAGATAGATCAAGTAGATAATGAGCCTGCCAGTAAAGAAACACGTTCGAAAAAGAGGATGATGGATTTGGAGAAGCTAAGTCAACCCGACCGGCTGCAAACCACTCGCGTCCCCCGATGGACGATGCCATATAATAATACCTACCTACTTGGCCATATTTCGTTATCCTCAACTTTGCATTTGTTCAATGAAAAAAATAAGCTTCGCTTATTTTGTTCCGCACACATTCACAAATAACATTGTTATGACTATAAATCAGTCTAGATGCATCATCTTGAAGGAACTACCCTCGTCAATAGTCAATACAAAAAGTTCTCACAGGGTTCCCGGAGTCCTGGATCCAGTTCCACGGTCTCGTAATTCATCTACACCTAGATATGTTACTAAGTATCTCTTATGCGTACTAATGTATAAGAGATAGCCTGCCGGCAGCTATAATCTACCTAGCTCTATTCATTTTGTATTTTACCAGTATTTCCTGGGGAACTGGAAGCATTCATGGCGGAAACTTCATTCTTCGATTGAAAGGTGGGCAAGTCTGTTTTCAATCGGTCTAATTCTTTATCAGCTGGAAGTTGGAATATTCTTGAGCCGTATTGCATAAAGACCCTTATCGATTGGGTTTCGATGAGGTACACTTGTAGGGCGCGACATGGCGATAGACAATACGACTGTCGCTTCAGGTATATCCAGCTGCGGGGGGGGGGATTTATTATGTCAGGAGAAGGATGATATCTGCATCTTCTAGGCCTACACACAGTTGGCTTCTACAATGTATGTACATTTTATTATTAGTCTTTGTCTCCACCAATACAGTCATTCTATTCATTTGCAATGTTATCTCATAGGTAATCATGCATACCTGTTCATAATTGAATGAGTTATCGTTTCATTTCTCGAATAGTATGTACGTTATTCCCCTCATTGACATTATCTCGTTGTTGTTGATGAGTCGGCATTTAGATCATGTGTGTTCCCTCCATACCGAGGTGATGACGGGAAACCTGCGGATGTCATGGTTTACTATCCAAATAAAGGAACATAGACTCATAGGGATGAAAACCAATCATTCCTGAAAGCAAGACGATCCCCTGTTTAAATTTTCGAGTTATGGACTGAGGTATAACGGCGTATTATCGTTTCACCCGAGCTAGCTTCTGTTTTAAAGAGTAGCCGTACAATGTAGATCCGCTTAACCTTCGCATTCTCCACTGTAAAACATGCGCTGGGGTTGTATTCATTCATTCTATGCTTAGGCTGTTTCTATGGCATTGATGTGGAAGACCTAGCTTCCTCATTCCATTTTGCGAACCAGGTCTTTTTCAGTGTTCGCCGCCTAACCAGACATTGTATTTATTCATTTACGGTATGGTATTTCAATCTCATACTATACTAGTCCCCTTTGGAGAGTAATGTACAGTCATGCATCCTGGTGTTTCGTTAAACTGCTGCCGTGAAGTAAATTGTCAATTGTCCATCTGATCTCACCGGGGCCATTCCTAGGAAGTCGATAACGTGATAACACAGTGTGACCATGAACAGCTTCCAGGAGGGCATGACTACTCCCACTTGCTCCCAATCTTCTGTTGTCTTTGAGCGACTGTAAGTATGCTGCATTGATTACAAGACATATCCCGGAATCCCCGAGGAAGGGGCAGTGCATTCACATCGCCGGTAGTTCCACCAACAGTATACATCGAATTTGGTGAATATAAACGTTTACAGAGAAATTATGGTTTACCCCTATTTTAGGACTTCGTTCGTAATTCTCCTCCCACCAGCCCCGTTCGTTTTCTATTAACGTTGCACCCTTTTTACCGGGAATTCAGTCCTTCCGTTTGAACATCATACTTGCACTTATCCCGAGGTGCTGCAATAAACTAATACCACGCCATGTTTGTTTTTATATTTCACATTTAGAGAGAATTGGAGAAACCCAGTAAGTGATTCCAGCTTCTTAAAAATTAAGGTGCTTAGCGCCATTTTTGAACCATAGCGTTGCCATCACCGATATGCAAAGGCTGTGTCTTTATAATGTGCGCGCCACCCCAGTGGGAGGAGCAGCATTTTCCTCGCCATTCGTAATTAATAAGAATTCTTGTTCTTCGAACCATCAACTTATCCGTTCTCTCCTGGATCCTTGCTCGGCGAGGCAGGCTACTTTGGTTCCGGCTGCCGGTCCACGTTCTCAGCCCAGGTTGTCCCCCCGACGACTTATGGAAGTCACCTTCCACCCCAGCTTTATGAAACGACCATGAAAAAACGCGGGGACATATCGCGTTACCATAATACTATTGCGGCACATGACAATAACAGAAGTCTGCGTACAGCTACTGAGGGACCTCGATCAAGACAATCTCAGCCCACCATCTCGCTTTCGACGAATCCTCTGTATACAACGATCCTAATCTCAGATTGTTTACATTCATCACGATAGGCGTCATCGTCGCTGTCCGGCTAGGCGAGATGTTCTCCGCTTCTCGCTAGTATTCCCAATGAGGCAAACAAGCACTCATCGGGAACGAAACAGACTCACAGAAAATATATCACGAAAACCAGCCGAAACACTATACGCCAGCTCATAGAACGTCATTCCTGAACGATGTTGGCATATCAAGGGAATACGTATGTATTGGGGAAGGTAGCCGCTGGCCTACGATTCATCAGTTCCAGCGAGTCTTAAGATAGGAAGGAGGGGACGCTACATGAAAGACGACATCGATACACTCCACCCCGACCAACGCAATCGGGTACGCCTCTGGAGTCCATGACCAGTCGCCCTGCAATACTTGCAGCATGCTAGCCCACCCAAAATCGATTCTATAAAGCAGATGGTCGAACATGGGCCTGGGGAAAGCGTACTTGACGCGGCCGAAAGCTTTGAGGCTATGGCAACTGCTCGTTTTCTGTGTGGTCATATCTTAAGACTGGATAGAAGGAGAGGGAAAGGGAGAAAGCGCACAGGTGTTGGATCTATACATACGTAGAAAGGCTGGTAGAGCGTGAATTTATTGGCTATGCAATCTGGGATACATGGTTTGTCCTAAACGAGGAGGTGAGCGTTATTCCGTGCAAAATACTGATGTGGAGCTTACGCATGTGCCATGACTGACGAGCTGGATGATATTCCGCGGATCCTACATGAAGTCAGTTGTCGATGCAGAGGTTTGTTATGGATAATCTTGCCGGGTGTTCTAGTCCGTAGGTTGCCATCTAGGAGTTAGCGTGTCAGAGTATTATATTCGGCGTGCATCTCGTGGGACCCACAAGTAAATCCTGATTAGGCTGAGGGGCCTGTTCTCTTGCTGGATTTTGCGGAGGCACTTCTGACGACCCGTGATTCTACATCTCGATAAGGACGCGTCAAGCTTATATATGAACAAACGGACGTACCGAAGGGTAACTGTAGATAAATGACATGACGGAAGAAACAACGATGATGATTAACCGTGCCCTCAGAAACGGTGTTCTTTATAACATGAAAATACCATTAGGTGGCAGGATCGTAAACGTTGGACAATGAAGCCACCCGGGACAAAGCGTACGTTTCAAGACCATTGATATTCACAAACAATACGATGCCATCAGACTGAGCGGATCATCAGGCCCGATATGCTTACAAAACAGCACTGCTTGTGTGGAAATTGATGTACCTCTGGTGTTTACGGTTCTAGTCGTTCGCTTGACCTGGTGAACACATTGCAATAGAGACAAATGACACGAAAAAGAGAAGAATAACGACGGACATGGCAATTTTTTGTTAGAATTGAGTAATTAAGAGTCATTGTTCAGTTTGTCATTGCATAGGAATGTTAGAAATTCATAGAAAGTAAGCTGACAGAAGAAATTGGAGGCGCTACGGTCCGCAAGATCTCCAACGGGAACGAAGTAGGCAGAATTGTTGCGGAGCTTCAAAAAGGTGCTGCCGTGCCAGGACTTTTAACTCCGACAACTTGATGTTGGCGTTGTGTTGGCGTCTGCTTCCTGCCTTTTTACTCGTCGCGACAATCCAGAGTCGATTCCAAGCCATCGCCCAACCATCGGACTTAGTCACTAGGCTCTACTCGCTTCTTTCAGTGCATCCCACCTCCTCGTAGCTCATTACTTTCAGACCCAAGGAGGACACGTGCTATCAGAAGTGACGCCAAATTCCTGTATTGGACATCAATTATCCGTTTTTCTTTCTTCCCAGTTTGTAGCTGGTCGTAATGACATACTACGAAGCTTTGATACTTAACGGCATAGAAGACGGGAAGCCTCTGGCTTCCCTGTAGGTGCTTTCTATCTGTCGAATGTCATAGGTGATGAACCCAGGGGAAACTGACTGACATTAGTCCTGACAGATGCACGCCGATAACATTGCGGCGCTGATTCGAAGGGCCGGAAGGCATGTGAACCCACCTTGATCTCAGCTTGACGTGACATCATCTGTAGTATTCCGGATTTTACGGATCGAGTGGCGGAAACATAATTCATTAAGATATATAGGCGTGGCTGGAAGAAAGTGCTGTGACCTCGACGGCACCGCACCTAACGACGAGGCCGCGCCGAATGTCGGGAATACGCTTACTCGGCCGTCGGTTGGATACGTCCCTGGTAAGCCACCGTTACGGCATAAGAGTGCGTTATCAGCGTTCATTGTGAGGCCAGGCAGGGTCTAATCGGCTATCAGAGCTTGAGAATCTATCGTACGTGATGCCATCGTCAGGGAAAAAAACACCAACGGTCCTGACGCGACGTCGCTATATGTTGGTTCCTCGCACCGGGCTATAAGGCGACCTTAGACAGATAATCAGAACATCCATTCCTCGCGATATGTATTGAAAGGATGATATATTGTGATGGCTCTTCAATATTTTTGGTTCTTTGTTTCCTCTAAGTCCCACCATTCAATCGTCTTAATGAAATTATAGACTGTGACAGCGCGCTATTCCTCTCGTACGTACATGGCAATGGAGGAATTCTGATGGTTTTCTGGTCTGCTTACCACGAGCATCGGACTCATGAAAGACAGTTGATGCACTTTTACCCCCTAACACTCTGTGTACCGCTACAATTTTCCACGGCCTTTTTATTCAATGATGTGGCCGGAATGTGTTCGACCAGAGACTTGTCATGTGAGTTGTTCCGGACTCTGAGTGCCAAACTTCAATATTCGCGCGGACATCCGGCCGTACATTCCGCATCTATACCCCTCTAATACAGACATCTGGTCTTTCGTACGCGGCTGCAAGCTGTTCACTCATAAGAACCATGCAAGGAGATAAAAACGACTCGCTCTATTGCGGTTGTGTAGATGACCAACTTAAAGTGCCCTACGGCACTGAATAAAATTTATCAAGAAGCAAAGATAAATCATCCGTACAGTGGGACACCTGTACTAAGGTAAACCGTTCAATTGCTGTAGTCGTGAATCCCTGACAGATAAAACTGCAAAACCGGTAACTACCAGATTCCCGCACACGAATCGATGTGGGAAATCTCACCGACTCTCACGATCCCTTACATGGTGGGGGACGTTCGGGTGAAAAGGTTATGAAGTGGACTACGTCAAGGGACTGGGAGGGGCTGCGAAGCAACAACCCAAATAGTTGATGCATTCAAATGACAAGATGTGGTAGAAAGGGGCGCGCGGAGTATTTAGTTGTCGGTCCCAGACGGTCACGAACAAGTTCGAGATGGTAGAAAGCTTGCGGAGTCAAGGTCAGAAGCCCGCCATCTCTAACATTTCTTTATTAAATCCTTGCGACCTAGGTATGTCTGTCATTCTAAGCATCTCACGACGATTAAAAACAAAAACTCACAATATTGCCTGTAAAGGCACCAGCAACGACACCGTCCAAGAGTAGCTTCTAGATATCTGTCGCAGCGTCATCTCCTCTGTCGAGAGTCGTTCACTCGATCCCAACTACGTTGACATGTGTGTACAGCGGTTTAATTGATTTCATGTAAAGCTAGTTGACAGCGTGTTTCTTCACTGAGCCTGGAGCGCGACAGAACTGGACATGCTATTCGGAATCAGATAAATGTTTGGGCTTGTGAAATACATCAACACTTCCGCAAACAAGGGGCGCGGAAACATCATTAAAGAGGGTGTGTAGTAAACGGAGAGTTCTTTGATCGTCTACTACTGTACATCAGACTAAAAATGAATGTTATCGATGACCGTAACCAGAAATGGCATGTCCTACCTCGAGATGATGTTCTCTAGCAGTTGCGTGGCAAGCGTAACGTGGTATTTGAGTATGAAAATGGGAATCTCTGTGAAGGATGAATCCCGGTCCGATCTTCCGTGCGTGCGCAGGTATCGCGCTACCGAAAAAAGTTTACCTATCCACCTCTTTCCCGTCCAGGGTCAACTGATGCGAGAATGATGGGAAGGCTCGATGACCGAGCAGAACGATTAGCAAAGAGATGATAGTCCTGACCACAAGAGATTAGGAAAAGTCCACGCATCTAGGTTCACAAGTGCGTAAAATTAGAGTCGATACAGCCACGCACGCGTTTAATTTCATAGGACATGTATAATATCGCCCCTGATTAAGATTGTCCAGACACATTTAGAACGGATAGGCCGCTTGTCAGTCCAACGTGTGATGAAATCAGAGGTTGAGAAGCTTACCGGGGGTCGATCAAGTCCGAGGCCAATGTATAACAATCACGGCCAAATAGGTTATCCGGAGCTGTTGTACAACTGAAAAAGAAGTGTTAAAAAAAAGAAAACCGCGGTGGTATTTCCGGCCTTCTGTTCCAAACTCACATCAAACAATCATGAAATTGGCAGGCTACACAATCAGGAGTGAGTAATCAATATACGAGGTACCTGCATGGAACCCAAGGCTGGCCTCCATATAATGCAATTCAGGGTAGGCATGAGCCTACAGTATATTCTGTGCGGTGCACTTTTCCCGAAGCGCGGGCGAATACGACTCTCTGTACAAAAGTGAAAGGCTCAGAAAGCTCCGAGAGGAAGCGGAGTACATACTACTGTGACAGGAACAGGAAAATATTTCGTTCTTCCGGAGTAGAGCCATTCCAATACTTCTAGGGCCTATTTAATAGGAATCCGTCCATTCTAGATTGAATGAGGTCAATTTACGTCCCAGAGCAACGCAACGGAAAAATACGTACTTTATGTCAACCTTAGGCGTCCGTGCTATGGTACTGATAGGATCAACGATCTGGATCAGTGACACGACGCGCTTGTCTGTCGGTATGAGGAGTATCCAAACACTGGCGAGAGAACAGTAAGAATACAAGAACATGCGATAAATATCGCAGAGAACCAAAACAGCTTTGCGGAGCTCGCAACCTGAATGTTATGGATGTGCCTTATTATGACTTGTTGGGTCTGCTTTGATGAAAAAGTTTCGTAACTCCACCACGTCAACTTCAAGAAGAAAAAAAGGCGAACCTGGCCTAAGAATAGCTTCGCGTACCTTTCATTCACGAGAGAAATTTTTGAATGAAAGTTCAGGCTCCAGCTCAAGACTCTGGATACCCCAAAGAATCTTCGTTGAAGGAATGGCTGGAGCCGCATGGAAGGAAACGACGTCAGAGGTATCACGGCATGTCGGCATGTCGGTCCCGACTCCCACCGAAGCCTTTGGCAAATAAACATTGTTCTCCTCTGATCCGTCACTCGCGTAACTCGTTTCTAAGGTTTCTTTTTTCACTGTCTGTTTGGTGCTCTCATTTCAGATGTATTGAGCCACTCAGAAATATCGAGGGACAATGTACATATCTCTTCGCATTATCTCTATCTTGATTCAATTTGCTGCGTTAACTGGGCGGAGATGATCTTTGGCAAATCTTTCATACAACTTGCAGGCCTCGACAATGATTCTTAACTCTCAGGCAGGAAATCTGACATGGCTCAGCGTAATCGGCTGTTCCTATATTTTTGGAGTGACCACCACGGAATCTTCGTTATCTCGGCATCTGGCATCCTGGACAGCAGGAAAGAAATGCTCCCGACGTTCTTGTGGCGTAGACTGGTGGACTGTCTTTCGTCACTATCACTGAGTCAGACTGCTGCGTGACGGTTCTACACACCTTCTCTCTATGACTCGTTCATGCCCAACAATCTCCACCTGGAGAAGTGTCCCAATTCCTGACTCGGGCCAATGGCGAATCTCCTTGCTCCGTTAGCATATTATCAAGGTATTGAATCAATTTACGAGCGACGACTCCATTCTCATCATTGCTTCTAGAAATGATGAACACGAAGTCCGCCGAAGCGGCAGTGGAATACGAGAGGAATGTGTAATGAGGTTGATCTCCCCCGAGTGAAGACTCTACCTTTCGAATCCGCAAAGCTATGACCTGGGACGTGGGCGACGACTAGAACAGATGCCGCTCTTGTTACTTCCGTCGAGTTTCATAATTCATCCTAAGACCGTACTCGCTAATCGCGCATAACCGTGCTGCCTAGGTGTGGCGCTTAACAACTCCTGTGGTAGAAAGCGTACCGCAAGGCGTGCGATAATAATGAAGCCAGCCCTCGTTACTTGAAAACAGTCGCCTGTTATAACGAAGACGATATGTTCTTCTACCTGGCAATGCTAAGCTGTCCACCAACCTTCCCCTATATAGCCCCCCGGAATATACGGAAATCTCTAGGTCCGTTACTCGGAGCTTTGGAAGTTAAGCGCATTTAACTATAAAGATACTCCTCGAGGAAAGTACTGTGGTTGGCCGCGGTACCGGTTCTAAGTGGCCGAGTTCGGAAAGAGCTTCAATGGTACGACTTCGTGGCCCGTCACAATATTAACGTTGATTGTAGAGAAAGACAATGAGAAGAGTGACCCGGCAAATGATGGTAACGTGCTGGAGGTAATAAATTCTACCTAGAATGTTCTATTACTTCTTCGACCGACACACACTGATGTGACTTCAACAGTGGGTGGGTACGCAAAATATCCGGTCGTCTGGCTGTCATAGAGGCACGCCACAATCAATCGTTTACGCCTCTGATAATACGTCACGACAACGCGTTCTATTCATACTCCCATATTCAGTCAGTGGTGAGTTATAGAGATCGGATATTAGTAACGTTTCAAGTACTAACTCGGTAGAGCCACTGTTAACTGCCAAAGGTTACACGACGAACGATGTTGCAGCGTGCCCAGCCATTCTTGTCGTTTTAATTCCTGCTATGATGGCTCTGGATCAAGATGTTTACCTGGCAGAATAAGGCCATGTTCCGTACTCCGAGAATCCATTTACGATGGGTATTGACATATGACAGACGTTTCAACGACACGAGTCAAGATCCACAGTTTGCTTATTCTTTACTATGATTGATTCTCTTGGCATGCTAAGTTGCATTTTCTCCATTCGTGTTTCCCCGCAACGGACGCCAGCCATTTCTGTTGCAACAGCTATATTCGTGATGCTTCTGATTCGCTGAAGACACATCAACATTATGAATGGCTTCTCAATTACGGCTGTCGTGGGTCCTAATGGAGAGATAGCCAATCGCCTCTAGTTCGATAGGCAGTCGTGACTCTGAGCTCGTGGGATCTGAACGTGCTATTGGCCAGACGTCGCCTTCGCTTATCGCCAGGTAACGGGTACCGTCCCGTCCCGTATGGACCACAGCGAGAAGTCCGAGGTTTCTGCTCCATTGCAGGCCTTCTCCCCGACGTGATATCTTCCAGTCACTATGGCTTGTGGGAGAATATGCCTCTCAGAACATCTCCTCGCGACCGTGACATTCTTTGGCTGTATCTGATGGCAAACAAGATATGAAGTACTGGAGGATAACTCTCGCTGAATACCACATATCGTATTAATCACAGATTCTTTACACGGCGCTCCGGCTTGCCCGCTCCTCTCTGCTTCTTCTCCCTTCGCGTCATGCATCACCATGAAACGCGGAGAATCCATCTAAAAACCGGGTAATCGCCTCTTTCCTGCTACTATCCTCCATCAATGATCAAGATGAGATAGCGAACGACAGTAAATACGCCGGTTCGCGACCGAAATCAACCTTTGCCACGGCGTGGTAGTTTCCTAAATAAATGCGTCCGACTCTGCCCAAGTAAGTCTCCACTTCGCTGATCTCCCCAGGAAGTATCATACGAACGCGTTCATCATCCTGAAACGAGGATCGAGGTATGCCATTCTCTGTTGATTCTATACTCCCATCCTCTGATAAATTCGAACGCGCGGGTGCGGGTGTGAATAGACTCATCTCAATACTATTGTGGAGGACGTGCAGAAATAGATTCGAGAGGCCAAGCTGCGTCGGAAATACCCGGCGGTTATATGAGAAATGGTATAAATTTCATTCGGCGGAGATACTTGTGCTTCTGGGGGATGACGATACTTTGCTTGCGCTGGGGTAAGGACGGCATGAAGGTGACTCAGATATAGGCTGAGCAGGGTAACCTTTGTCTTCACGATGGCATCTCAATGAGGCAAGCTGCTGTTGGGGGGAGAGGTGCAGATTTAGATATGTATTTCCGGCGAAAGTGTTGATCAACGGTTTTGGGAGCGAGCTCAAATGTGGAGGCGCGTCATATTGTAAGCATACGTGGAAAATGAAAGTGTATTGTGATCGCTTACCGGGACGGAGGCTATCCTACGCGAACCAGTCATTGAATGGCGATGAACTGATCTGCGTTTGCTTCAGGATCAATTCCGCTATTAGCTTCAAAGTTGTATCGTTCTGAAGAACTGCACCTCTCATCAGTTGGCGACATGCGTAGAATAAGAACAGGAAAGAGATGCACTTCGACGTCGAGAATCCAGATATTATCTCAGGCTTCGAGCTTGCACCACAAAAACATACACTGGCGCTGGGAAACGTCCTTATTCGAGGATATGCGAATAGAGAGTGAGTATAATTGCAAGTCTTTCCTGTCACAATGTCGTAAAATCTAGGGTTGTTTCTGTGACTGTTGAATCCTGCCTCGATGCTTCTTAGCACATTCCAATTTTATCCAACCTATTTACCGGCTTTTGATGATATGGGATCTGGTATCGAATTCATCCGATTTTTTACCGCGATGAATTCAGTGCATTCAGGTATTATCTCGTCTCTCCACTTTCGTCTCGAAGATCCTGTACACCCGCGGAGATGAATTCCCCTCTCTCACGGTACCATTACTCGGCATGGAGAGTGGAGGGATTGGTAGGAAGTACGACACCCTCGCTTGCATTATAATCATATAGTGCTAACGGAAAGGAGCAATGATCCGGTGGTGTTCTGGTGGAACCTTCGCGACCAGGAAAAGACCAAGGACGATAAGGTGATGACTCACTAAACATTCATAGCAAAACGAAATAGTGAGGGTGAGCACGTACCATGTTTGGGTAAGTAAATCCTTTGCTATACCTCAAGAAGAGTTGCCGCTGCAGTTGTCAGCCTTCATGCGTCCTAGCAAGTGTAGAAGAGGACGTATTGGCGAAGAAACACCTATGAACGGTCGAATTCTGCATCGATGCTTCTTGGTTCATTGCAAGTATATGCAGTCGTTTCTTGCGTCTCAGAACAGACTAGTTCCGCTCCTCTCGTTAGGATCTATATTTGTCCCGTCCTTCAGATACTTACAGGAAGCTATTTTTAGTGGAGATAAAGTTCCTTCTCACTCGATATCTTTAATTTTTAAAGCATCCGTGGAGCATGACCAGGTTGCTATATGACATCATCATCGTTTGTATTGAACTAACGGCAAGGAAATATGAAATCGGAGTCAGAGAACCTCCATCACGCGATCCCGGGTTCAATAAGAATTGCATGGAGGTTTTCCAGTTTCAACCAGGGTCAGAGACGAAGCAATGGGAATCGGAAAAGGTATCACAGGACAAGCGCTCATAGATAACAGACTGACGGACTCGCGGAAGACAATAAATTCCTGACAGCGCGTTAGTTTATGAAATTAAGGCAGAAGGAAACCGCGAGTTGAGACTCGAATCCTGCTGAGTGAGAAAGAGATAGGATAATTTAGGATTGAAGAAACGTGACAACGTACCAAAGGTAATGAAGTAGACATTCATGTTAAAGACCGAGCTGATTCTCCGTCTAAGTAAAGCCATAAATGCGAAGGTCAGCAACATTTAATTAGCCGAGCAATAAGATTATAGCGATTCACGTGAAGCCAGCTTACCTGGTTTTGATTTTAAAGAAGAAAATTCCATTCTTGCATTAGCTAGGGAACAAAAGTGCTATGTAGACCTAGAGACTATTTAGAGTCCGTTTGAGTGACGATGGCGACCAGTAAGCACCGCTAAACGGAAGAGTCTTCCTTGGTCGTGGCCGATTGACCGCGCCCCCTGTGCCGTTCTCGATCAAAGAGACAGGAGGAGAATGCCGAAAACGGCGTGTTTGGCAAACGCGCGGTGTTTGGCAAGTCCATTTGGGGCTTGATCGCTCTCGCTCACTTCCATCATCTCCAAGCCTGCCCCGTGCTCCTTCCTTACTCTTGCTTGTGTTTTAGTTGGATATTTGATTTCGGGTAAATCTCCTTTCCAATCACTCATCGCCTGTGCTTATTTCCACTACGAATATAGATTCGAGCGCGAGGTGCAATCTTGTTTTGACGACTTTTTCAATATGGGCCGAAATCTGTGACGTAAATACGCGTTCCTCTGGGTTACGAGGTAAACAGTCTATTTTTTCTTCGCTTCTTGTTGGCTCATTTCTTGTCGTGTAGATCCTCTTCCTGTGACCGTCCACCCTCCTACCCCTCCTAACTCCGTCCCTTCCCTGTATCAACGACGGGTGTTTCATTCCAAGGACTATCTCAGCCTTACAAATGTTCGCCAGAACGACGTAGCACCAGATGGAGGAGCAGACGATGGTCGAGAGTAGGGAACCGTAACGGTAGACGCGTTCTGAGATATATCGCAAGGTCCTCTAATCGATGGGGTGTGGCATACCCCTCATGCACAGGAGGATCTTTGGAAGTATGTATCTGCATTATGGGTATCGGTGCCGAGGACTTATATCGTTTGTGTAGCGTTCTATTCTCCGCGTGGTTCAACCCAACATCCGCTGCTTTGAACGATACCGTATGTGCTCCGCCATGACACTCTTCGCTCGCTGAAGGCTGTTTATCACAACAGGTGTGGACAAACAACATCAAAAACGAGTATAATGGGGAGGCTGGTCGCGGAGAGAATGCATTTCACTCAGGTGTCTCGGGCTAGGGACGCTCTGGAGAGAGGTATGTGGTTTGGAATGAAACCGTTGTCTTTGTGGCTGATATAATTTGAAGATCAAGGTAACGATGATCTCGAAACCACGCGTTGCTGAAAATTCGGTGTTTGAACATCGATCTTCCACGGCGGAATTTTACGAAGTACGTTTTGAACTTACACGCGCATCTTTAGCTGATTGTTCGTTCAGTAACAATTCTTCAACCTCATTCTATGCTGTGAATCAAAATACAGATAAAACATCGCGTCACCGGTGCCGGTCATAACTCCGACCAAGTCTTCGTCCTTCACCGCTGAATCCACCCTCTGCGGCCAGGCCCTCACTGGGTACACATCACGCAAACTGCCGTAGATCTTTTCGACCGAGTTCGAACGTCTGCAGGGTTAGTCAGCGATTTCTTTCTTATCAACACAAATCTTACGTTTTTGTATAGACGGCGGGTACCAAGACGAAACTCTTCTCTACATCTACCGAGGACTTGCAAGCTATCCAGCAGAACGGTATCTTCTGGCTCGTACGGTAACTGATCAGTGTCATGAAGACACGAAGACAACTTGTCACGACTATAATCTCTTCTAAGTGCGCCGCCGAGCGTTACGGTGATAGTATCGTCATGCTGAGCATGCCAGCGGTACCCAATGGAAGCGCATACGCGCAACGAATGACTTACATAACCAAAGCTGCGAGTACGTGACCTTCTCCCTCCCTCCCATTTATTGATAATCCTTTCCTTCCTCTCGCACCAGCCCAAGATCATGCCTCGCATCAGCGCCGTCATCCTCAGATTCATTCACACCCACAATCTGGCCTTCTAGCCCGTTGTCGTAGCCGAGGTAGGCAAAACTGTTGACCTTGTCTTGGGGGATGGGTTCATGATAAGGAGCAGCGTCCTGAGAAGTAAACTCTTTGGAATATCATCTGGCTCTTTTTACCCGCTTTTTGACAGTGTGAACTCAGGACGTCAGGGAGCGTGCCGCAAGTCTAGACGATATCTTCTCGGGCCAAAATATCGCAAATTAATCGTGAATTTATCATGCTCAAGTCCTCAGATGGCTAGAGATTCACCACGGCGACAACATCATTTCCCGTTCCACCCCCGATTCTCTCGTAGTACAACGCTTGAGCTTGAGCAACGCACCGGCCAGAGTGTCTCGCTTACGGTCTGTTCTGGATTTCCAATCGGGAGTCCGATATAGGACGCCATCTCAGATGAAAACTATCCTGAGCACCACCAGAAAAATCTCGGCTCTAGCAATCAAAATTGATTGCGTAGAGATTTCTCGACCGGGAGACTGCGCTGTGTATAAGTTTTTCCTCTGCCACGGTTCGGGGTGTATTCTCATCAGGATTCGCAGAAGTTAGGCTGAACGGGAGGGAGAATCAGGCCGCCTTTGGAAGAGAAGAATGCTCATATTCGCCAGATCTGCATTCTAACTATCACCATCGTGGACTAGACATCATTTGTGCAGCGTGTCTCGCCTTGCTCCGTGTTCTCCTCAAACACTGCCATCCGCTAGCTTCTATGACACGTTTCGCTCGGTAATACCCACTTATCATAACACGGTGAGGACGGACCATCGTCGGTGAAGGAACACTTCGGTAGAATGTCATGTGCTAGAAATCGGAGGAGGTACGTGTTTTGGAACGAAGTCGTCGTATTTGGTGGCTGACTTTGTTTGCAGAGCCATCAACATTAAGTATGTTGTTCGATACCGATATTTCTACAGAGGCAGCTGTAGAGCTCCTTCCCATGCATCCATCCATGGCTGATTGTTCCCATTCAGGTCGTCAACCACGTTTGGTGGTTGCCTATCACAGTACGGGCAATACATCGCGTCATTTTGTACAACAACACCAAGCCAACTAGTCATCCAGAAATTGTACACGTCTGGTGTAGCCCTCGTCACCGGAGCAGGTTAGAGCATCGGTGAAGCTACCATCGTCCCCTTCGGAGAATCCCGCATCTGCGGCCTCGTCATCGCTAGACGCACAACTCTTCCATGCTACCGCCATGGCTGAGAATCCCCTGATCCACATTGCATACCATTTCGGACAAGTCAATTTCCTATTCTTCAACTGTCGGTGGGGTCAGCGGCTCTTTCTCTCACAAACCGGACCCTTAGGTTTTTGGACGATGGAAATGGAGATATATTTACCGAAGATCGGCCCGCTATCGAGCAGGTGTATATTAACAGAATCGCTTTGCTCGTTGCGGGATCAGATTGGTAGTAGTGTCCTTGGGGAAGCAAGAATGACTCGTCACGTTCATCACCACCTCGCGGAGCGTGGGAGTAGCAGTGATCGCCTAGCCTGCAAACTCTGAGTCGGGACTCGTCGAACCCTTGAAATACCATCTTGTTCTATTTTCCTGCTTTTTGTTGATGCAGCACCTGAGGGGAATCTGGACTATACTCGACGATATATTCTCCATCATCGTGGTTTTATCTTTGAGCACGGATCGAGTCCTTACGCCCGACTGCCTGGTCAATTCTGGCGGAGCGATGATTTCCCGCAGATCGTTCCTCTATTCGCTCCTTTCGTGATATACTTATGAGTACGTTTGCGGTGCTCATCTACCGGATAAATCTTATCTATATTCCTCCCAGTAATCAGGAGCCTTTCTCTAGAGGGGGAGGTGCGGTCGTTTAGATATGCATCTCGGTGTCGCGCCAGGATATACGATACTCTCAGCAGCTCCCTGTCTTCCCATGCGCTTCGACATTAGGCGTAAAGTTATGCCGACGATAAGCGATGGAAATTCATTGTAGACTCATTTCAGCAGTAGTCTTAATGTGTTGATAGAGCCTCCCATCCAATGATTCAGCCGTGCAACTGTGAGTTTAATATCCCTATGTCTCCTCATAATCTCGATCCCACCTCAAGTCATGTTCAAAACACCACTTTAGGGCTTGACCAAAAATAACAAGGTAGCTCGACTGTGCTTTGAATAATCCTGGGGAAGGCAGTCTGAGGAACGGATCATGTCAACGCACGGTGGCCTGATAAATGATAATGGAGCTTGTTGGTCATTACGGTTTTACGGAAAGCATCCGCCTGTTCTACAATTACGATTACCCCCGCTGGACGTCTTATTCAACGCCTGTGACGGCCAATTTCGACGGGAGCCTCTCCTTTTGTATAACGCTTGCTTTGTTTCAACTAACGGCTTTCGCCCATAAAGGGTTGCCCGAGAAAACGCGAGTGTATACGTCTCATGATGGATGATCTCTATTGCTGGCGATAGAATCCCAGTGACGGTTTGTGGCCAAGAGATCAGGAAGCAACTGACTCAATAATAGATGACCAGCTGTACCGTATAGTGTTTGTATTCCGGTGATCTGTAATGCCAAATGATCCTTATGTTCACGACAGCTTTCCTCCAAACTGCGTACTTCCCGACTCTCACTAATTCTCCCCTTTCCTAGATTTCCAATTGGGAGCCCGTTATGGATTCCTAGGAGGAAGACTACACGTAGTTCACGTCGAAATTGATCGCATAAAGATAACCTCAATCTTCTCAACTTTTCAACAATCGAGATAGTAGATAACACTACACACGTAGGTGTTCTGTATGAGTTTCTTCCGCAGGGTTTTGGGTGGACTCTTGTCAGGATTCGCAGACAGCAACAGACAGCAACTTTTGTCGGTTGAACGATCAGGCGACTTGGAAAGAAAGGATGCTCGCGGGAGAAGGGAGTCTGTAGTAATGATCTCCTCTTTGGTATTGGGGCTGTGATGTTATATTTGTATGCAGGTGAATCCTACCAACTCCACCATAGTGACCTAATAAACCATTCTTGCCAGAATCATAGCATACGACGAGCGTTCTCTTGGTCAGGCACATACTTTCGGTGAACCGCATCATTAAGATGTCGAAAGAATAAGCTATCTAAAGTATTGGTTGTTTCAACAGTCAATTCACATGTATCAATACAGCGCCTAACTCCAGGTATTTGGAAGAACCTATTTCACCTAAGGTATGTACACCACCAGCTTTGTGCTGTATAATTTGAATAGGAGATACTCCATTATTAACAGCTCTTTGATTGCTGTAACTCGACTCTCAGCACTATAAGTACTGAGTCTGTCGCAGACACAGGACTCATATCTGCCATCTCTACAATACTCAATGCATCTACCAATTAGACCTCGTGATGAACCAGTCGCATGCGATTCAAACAAGCGAACACTATGGGATATTCTATGGAGCTCTATCGCAACTATCTTTGCATGCCTATGGATCTCGGTACATCCTAACGTTCCTGGGTCTAAGCTCAGGGCCCATGGATCATTCTTTTGCCGCTTGCAGAGATTGAAGCTTATGCTTCTCGCTATCTTCTCCCCTGAAGTGATTATTATGTGGGCCTTTCGCCAATGGTCGGTTGCACGTAGAGCTAAGACGTGTAGACTCCCTCATAACTTCCGAACAAGATAGAGATCCTAATATGGCTTCCTAGATAATATTTCAATGGCACAAGGATTCTTTATTAGCATAGGAGGATTTGTTGACAAAGACGGACATGCGGCAGCATCGGATGACCTTCATACAACTGCAGATGTCATCTCAAAGTTCCCTCAAGAGGAGCTTTTGGACCGTAGCAAAGGCGATCCCTTATCAAAGCTTATTTCCCTTCTTCAGACAACTTGGTTCATGGTATATCATATTGCCAGAGCCGTCCAATCTCTTCCCATCACCCAGATCGAAACTGCGACGCTCGCTTTCACACTTCTGAACATCGGCAACTACATCCTATGGTGGCATAAACCGATGGATGTCCAAGTCCCAATTATTCTAGAAGGTTTTACTTTTCCTCCCCGTCAGGATGGTGATGGCTTCAGTGGCGACCAACGGAATACTGGTGGCAGGAGTACGGAAAATGAAACTACAACGAATCAGGCCATAACAAATGAAACCAAAAGTTCCATATGTTTCCAGGTACGCTGAAATTGTCCAAGCACATGTGTTTTCAGAGAATGACCACAATCGTAGTGCGCTCATAATGCATGGCGTTTCATTCACGCCATGGCCAAACATACAAGGAACCTCTACCATCGTTACCGGAAATCACTCTTTACAATCCTCACAGCCCGCAGTATGTCTCTCACATTTGTCGGATGGCTACGGGCGCGATAATATAGACATGGACACCCAAAAAAGAGTGTTTATTTTCTATTTTGGAGCCTTTGTTGGTATTGTTTTCGGCGGAATTCACTGCATTCCATGTAATTCTGTCTTTGCCTCAAGCACCGAACATCTACTTTGGCGGATTTCTGCGGGGTCAGCTGTATGAGTACCCTTCCTTTTGGCGATTGAGATACATGGGATCATCAAATTGTCTCGATTGTACGGATTATTGGTTCCTAGTTTGATATTATTTTATACGAGTGCCAGAGCTTTCTTGATTGTAGATATGTTCCTTTCACTTCGTTCACTTCCTCCTGCTGCTTTTGAAGATGTTGATTGGACTGTGTATGTCCCGCATCTATGATTACTTTTCGTGTATTACAAACAGAGAGAATATCGCTTCCTTCCTTCTAAGATGTATTACACGCCATCGCCACGATGAAGATTCAGTTACGGAACTTGATAAGAGAATCCTGCGTGGTGATCCCAAAGAGGCCTATGGAAAGACTGTACTTTGTGGATATCGCTAATTAAATTATTAAAATGATCTTGGGATCCCATGCAGCGTTCCTGTAAGGATAACGTCCTTCGATTTGAGTATAGAATTTCACCATTGTTCATGGCAATCTGACGAGTTCCACGACCCATTTCTGGGCAGGGTACTCCGGGATATAATGAGAATGAGGTAGATAAGCTCAATATCTGAACCACAAATGTATTCGGAGTACCGGACAGGAAATAGCCTCCCTTTTAAAACCCAGGCTGGCTAATTCGAATGTCCCCATCTCACATCATTTCTCAGCTCACCAACGCCGCGCGATTTAGGCCGTTTGTACTCTCCTAGGCATCCCACTGATTGTTGGATTTAGCACGACTCTGCTTCACTCATTAATACACAACACCGTCCCCGTGAACGCGAGCACATTCATATCGGAATCGTCACCTCTACAAAACTAATGATTGCCGACCTGTAAATGCCCTTCCTCCCAAGGAGTCCCAATAGCGCCCTCGTTCTCGAACTGGGATGTCCCTCCATATTTATGTCATGCAAGTATGAAATAATGATTGCTTAGTTGCCCAGTACTCACGAGCTCGTATCGTCCATGTGGTGTATAGGCATTAATTCGAGTATATATATTTACCGAAATTTGTTACTTTTCGACGACCCATCAGGATAGATACGTCAAACCGCCCGTTCACCTCAAAAGCTCGCTTTATCTGTTCAGAGTTATAATCTCTCATCGCCATACGATCCATGTAAGCGCTCAGAGTAACCCACAAAGAGACAGCGCATACGACTGGCAGGAATAAATGAACAGAAACGAAAGGTGGAGCAAATTCTGAGAGAAACAAATTAATCTGAAAGCTCTCGATACGGGGCGAGGATCCCAATGATGACAAAGCAAAGGATGTCCCGAACGTTCTCAGATTGTTCCGTTAGTTGGGAACCTTAGTCCTTGAGTACTTGAAAGAGCTGCAATCACGAATTCCTTGTCCAATGAACTGTCGACTGTTGAGATAAGCGGTAATTCTCCAGCCGCTCACCCGGATATAGCAGGGAACCCTCGCAAACAGGCGAGGGTCATCGTCGTTCGTCTACCTATTTATCTACATGCCGTGTACACTAATAGAAGCAATATGATGTAATAAGGAAAGCCGAGGAGGAGAACAGATGAATGGTGCTTCCTACTGAAGATCCCGACGTCGACTGCACCATGATGCGCGACACTTGACATTCCAACATCGACAACTTGAATGCCTTGCTCATCTCCAATACCATGGAAATCACTGTATCAAAGGCAATAGGAATGGCTCATATACCACGTTTCAACGCAAAACACGTCAAAGCGAGTCATCGTGCGCCATGCTTGGTGAAAGGACGGACTAAGCGGTCCATAGAAACCTGAATGAAAACGGTAGCTGTAAAATGGCTCTGCACCCGGTCGATGATCTCGTTTCAAACGAAAGATAAATGCAAATGATAGTCATTCACAAGAAAAAATTGGGAAAGACGATGTAGAGGGCAGTACATCAACGTAATAAACCTAAGATTTATCGATTGGGAAGGAAATCTGGGAATAAACCAAGGAAGGGGTGGCCGTATGTAGCCCTATGATGTATCAGGTTAGGAAAAAACGCAATGAGAATGATACGACATACACAAGTCCCACCACATCCTTGACGCGTGACAAGGTGTGGCTTTGTTTATCCTACCGAGTTCGCCAAAAATAAAACAGTAACACGGTTAGCTCTATTAGTGACTGGCAGAAACAGTCAAAGAAATTTCGACACTTGTGTCGTGAGAGAGACCGCGCAGGCCGCTACGGAAGGCATTCGTTAGAAAGACCTGTCCAGATGAAAAAACATTAGAATTATATAACGGAGAGCAATGTTTTGGCCTACCCTTGCATGAGTGGACGTGCGCGTTCCTTTCCTAATGCGCCGTATTTGCCAGATCAAAGTGAGAGAGACGGGGTTCCGGCCCGTTGTTCCGGAAAACGGCAAGGCCCGTTTCTCGGCTCTTGATCGCTCTCTTCATCTCTACCCCTTCTCCTTCTTCTTGGTCTACTCGCCTTTCTCTTCAATTGTTCCGTTCACTTGCAGCTTAAAATTTGTGGATGATCTTGACGACGACTGACCTGTGGACGTGGATACGCTTTCCTTTAGGGTTCAAGGTGTGCAGTCTATTTTTACATCGCTTCTCGTTAGCTAACTTCGCGCATGCGTAGATTCTCTGCCCATCCTCCTCATTGTTACTAGCTTTCTATACGCTGACTACGCGTCAGTACACAGACACGACTCCCAATAATTGTTTGCAAAGTCCTTTACCATTGGATCCGATGCCGACAACCTTTTACAACCAACGTTTGCACTGGATTACAAGTCATAGATCTGTAGTCAGTGTGTGGTGGGTATTAGTGCACCCGGGAAGGATGTTAGGACGTACGTCTCCACATTCTGACTATCGGCGTCGAGGAGTAATCTTTTTCATGCAGCGTGGCCCTTGCGACTCGGACTGTCAATGCACTCTAGCGTGACATACCTGCTTGTTTATCGCAGCGGGTGACACGTAGAGAATATATCTCAATGTAGTGATGCGCATTAGGGAGGTACAGGTACGTCTGTTGGAGGGAAGTTGCTGTCTTCTGTGGCTGATATAATTCAAATATCTTGCTGCGAATTTAGTGTCCGACATTGATCAACATTACGAGGTGTGGGATAGACATCCTCCTGGTGCATCCTCCTGGTGCATACGCTGCAATGTATGAGAAGGAGACCATTGATTGGCGTCCTAAGAACGAAAACTCGTCACGACTCTACATGGGAAGGTGTAAATTTTCCTTCCCTTTTCCGTTGTGAATGCATGCGTGTTCGTTTTCCTATCTGTTACCTTGGACTTGTCGAGGTTGGAATGCGGAGAAAAACGCCGGAAAGGTCCGGGATGTTTGAGGGAAATCTTGGGGTTTCGCAAAGACCATTCTCGGTTATTGATCGCTCTCTTCGTTCCCATCATCTCCACGCGATCCTTCCTCCGTGCATTGCTATTAATATTCAGTCTCTGGAGTGGTAGCTTTCTGTCAGTCAGGCAGCAAGCGCGTTGAGAAATCAGGTAGAATATGGTCAGATACTAAGTCGGAATAAGGTACAGAATATGTAAATATAGTAACCGTAAGTAGCCGAATGAGCACAGCCTCAACACTTTCTTGTACAATTCCTTTCTTTCTTCGACTTTAACGATGTTTGACGATGACTTCAACAAGGGTCAAGACCAATGACATGCAGACGCGTTCTGTTGCGGTTCATAGGTACGTAATCTATTTTTAGATCGCTCCTTGTTAGCTAATTTCTTCTCGCGGGCGCAGATTCTCCTCCCCACCCAAACCTCACCAATTGCACTAAAACGTTCCCGCGAACGAGATGGAGGATAGACTGTCGACAGAATCAGCGTACTCCCTGGTGACTCCGTGACAACATCCACTCTGAAATTCTACCCTCGTACATCCTCGTCATTACTACTTCGCTAAGCGCCTACTACGCGACTACGTTATAAGGACGCGTCCGTTGCGAGTGCGAATGTCTTCTACCAGTAGAGTTGGTACCAACCAAACTGTTGCAACTAGCGACAGCCCTGTATTGCGTATCATAAAAAAGCTGGATTTGTGGTCGGTGTGTTGTTGGGTTCATATTAGGATTCTGCCGAAATCCGGATATGCGAGCACGAGGCGAGGAGTGGTGATCGAAGCGAGGTAAGATCAATTAGAAATGATGTATGTCGTTAGGGAATATAATGGATTCTGGCGAGGGTTCGTGAGGAGACCTGAGTGGTCCAGTTTGTGAGATAAGGGAATCAGTAAGCGCGAAGCAATTACTGAGGGAAGTAGCCAGTAAGCGCGGAGCAATTACCGATATAGAAGGCCTGTAAGTGCGAAGCTATTACGGGCCGTGGGTGAAGGCAAGCGCTAAGCGTAACCTTCTGGTTGGTATTGGAAAGCGCTAGGCGTATCCAATGGGTTGTTCAGCAAGCGCTAGGCGTAACTGAGGGTTCACGCAGTGGTGGTAAGTTGAAAGTGATAGATTGGCTAAGATTTCTAATACAATGTTATCTACAAGTTTATATACTAAGGGAAAGTTCAAGTCATTATTATTCTACAATGTTCAATGATATTCTAGTATAAGCACGAAGAATAGAGAAAGTAAGAGAAAGGACGACCGAGTCACCATTAAGACCGAGAAGGCCGAGTACGGGCATATGTTGACTCACGCACCGAATCAACGGATACCCAATATCCATAACAGTTCAGATTAAGTCGCTTCCGATGTACGTCTCTGCATTCTTCCAGTGACTATCGGTAGGGAGGACTAATGTTCTTCGTGCAGCGTGGCACTCGCATCCAGCATGACACATCTCGCTCGCTAGTGAGTGTTTATCACAGGAGACGAGGATTGAAACACTAGGAGCGTCAAAAACATGTATAGGTAGCAGTGAAGCGCGGCGGGGAAGGAATGTGCTTGGACGTTGAGTCTAACGAGAGTCGAGACAAGTGCAAAGAAGAGGCAGAAGACAGCTGTGGGTTCGATCTTGTGATAGAACTCACCAGTGATACTTATTGTGCACTATTTAGCTCGTCCCTACGAATACAGTCCTGGAAGATGCTCGCGGGTCCAAGGAAGATCACGGTCAGATGCCAAAAGCCAATGACACAGACGACGAGTCAGAGATGGGAAGGAGAGAAAAGATACTGGAAGGTGAAAGCAAAGAGCGGTGAATTCACAACTACCATAACATTCCACTAATCATGTTCTAGACTACAACAAAATGCATACAGAATGCCGCGACACGGATTTAACGCTATATATACGACCCGATGCACGGAAAGTGGACGGAGAATGTCGTCCCTAAGACAGAAATCCTGCCAAGGTACATTCAATGTCTAATAAGCTGCGTGGGACTAACTGTTTACTGGCAGGCATCTCCTCCCGAGTTTCCGTCACTTATGATGGATGGTCGACGTCGTCCTTTCTCCGTATTCACTATCCATTATATTTGAGTCGACACAGACAGTCGCACGAAGTGGACACTTGAGTCCCTGCTGCTAGAGTTCAAGTGAATGCATGGTCGACACACGGGCGAGGCTGTTGGAAAGGAATTACTCAGAGTTCTCGACAAGTATGACTGGCATGATCATGTACATTTCCTATCTTCTGTGCCTTCAGAGCGCGTGTTTTCATATGCAGGTCGTACGGACTCTCACCGTCGCCGTCCCTTAGCAGGTGAAACTCGAGGTCCAAGCTCGAGTTTCAGGCAGGCGTATTTAATCGGACCCGGATGGACTAATCACAAATCATGTATGAGTAACTAACTCATTGCTTTCCAAAAACCCGGACAAGTTTCGAAGTCAACGGAAAAATCGAAAGCTTTATAACCGACTAAAAATTTGCATGGATCTCCCATCCGCCTCTCATGCTTAATAGTCTCTTCATCGTTACGTGCCTCTTTCTCTTAGGCGTCCACGCCTTACCCACGGAGCTGTCCAATGCTACTTCGACATGGAACGCTACCGCAACAAAGATAGTGGAATGTGCCGTACCCACCTTCACGCTTGACTATAATACCTACCATCAGTCATCCGAGAACATATGTCAGTCTGTTTCCTTATTTACTTAAACTCCACATTAACTTGATCAACAGGTTTCCTGGTTCTGTACGTCTGTCCGCCCCTCTTCTCCCTCCCCTTGACACAACCTCCCTCCAGGTAACAACGGGCCTCGCTCTGTAGCTCCTGACCGTACCAACGCAGCTTCCCATCGTGCTAGCAACAGTTGTGGTAACGTTAACCCAAACCGATGCAGCGTCCGCGTACATGGTTCCGTCTCCTTGGTATCGTACACATAATACTAATATAAGCTTATCATATCAGGTGCGTCATGCTAGCGGGTACCAGTGCGATGAATGGCCTTGGGCAAACTCTAATGCCGGCTATGCCAATGCCGCTACGAGGTGCATTCCCACTTCGGATAATACCGATGAGTTTTTGAGTTCTGCTTCGTGTTCGTGTTCTTCCTCTGACAGAACTACTCTCTGTTTTGTGTTGTTTATAGGATCTGGTTCGCAATGGGGGAATTTCATCAATGTATGTCTCATCCGTTTTTGGTAGGTTAATACTAATCCCCCGGCGGAAAATACAGAACAGAGGCTCTCAAGCTGTTGGACGTGTTTTACGGGATAGGGTTGATGTGAGTTTCTCCTTCCACCCTCCCCCGTTCAAGTCCTCCTTCTTAAGCCAGCCTAGTTTGCCCATATCGAGATCAGCAATGTCCCAACAACTGCAGAATTCTGCTTGGGAGTGCATGGAAGTAAGTCATTGTTGCAGTTTATCCCCCACCCGGTTCCGAGTCATTCAATTATTTTTGGTACAGCGACTATCACCACGACGATGTGTAACCAGCTTGCTAGTGGTCAGCCGTATTTGCAAAATATTGGTTGAGCGTAGCTTCTCCGGTGAATTTGGACGACCACAATTTGATACTTGCCACGCTGCTTCTAATTTCCTTCATTCCGTCCTATAACGCTGCGCGTCTTTCTTGTCCCCATGAATATGGATTGAATATCAATAAGAATGTTTCTTTGACTTGAACTAGCACATGGCAATCCAAACCTTATTGGAACCGGAACCCCGTAACATTATGCAGACGATAATATGCCTCTTTGATATAGCGGAAATATGGGCTCATCACATTCTTTTGATCCTTGCTGATATTGGTTGGTTACCATCTAGTCTCCACGTTCACAAGGTCTAACCGAAGAATTGAGAATTGCGCCATGTTCATATGATAGATCCACGGAAAACGTGATATACAGAGGATTTTCGGTGTATGGACGATCGAGTGTGGCCTCACTAGTAATTCATTGCAGCGGCACCATCATTTCCATGCCGAGACTTATTCCTTCCCGCATCCCGCCAAGTACAAGGCGCCCTTATCAGTGTGTTTCGTTGCAGATCCTGGCGGGTCCGCTCTGGATTTCCGATCGGGAGCCTGCTATCGATTCCTAGGAGGACATTACCACAGATGATAACTTGGTACTCTAACCCGAGCTGCTACGGCGTAATATCAGCTCTAGCGATAGTATCATCCGAAATTTATTGCGTAGAGACCGCGTCAGGAGGATCATTCCATCTCAACCGGAAGGACAAGCTTCCCCCGCACGATCCGGGGTGAATTCTCATCAGGATTTGCAGATAGTAACTGCCGTCGGCTGAATGCCATCCTACTCCTCCTGACTCCGTACCTTTAGGGTTAGTCCGAAAGACTATCCCAGGGTCAAAACTTTGCGCCAAGACCACATATTACGTTCTGACGAGCGAGATGGAGTGATAGACGGTGGTCGAGATCGAAGGACCGCCAAAGTAGATCTGTTCTGGGAGGGATATAATGGTCCTCTGATTGATGGAGGAGGAGCGGCAGACAACTACGGGACGATGTTTGGAAGTGTATTGAAAACGAGTATAAATTTGCGGGCTAGGGAAGGTCTTAACGGAAGTACGGTGTTTGGAGTGAAGTCGTTGCATTCTTCTTAATCCAGCTTCCATGGCATGATCCTCGCAGAGCGCACCTAACATCACTACCTTCGAATGCAAAACCATTGTCGACCTTGAAGACCTCGTTGTCTCTGACAACGTTAGCATAGAAAGACCATTTTAGACGTGTTGATTACTGTGCAAACGTCGGCGGGGTCAGTCGGCAATTTTTCTCTTACCAGCCCAATCCTTACGTTTTGTGCAGACGATGGGAATCAAAACGAGATTTTCCTGTATACCTACGATATCAATGGTATCTTCCAACTCGTACGGGAGCAAATTAGGGTCACAGAGACAACCCATCATTTCTATCACGTCTCCCAAGTGTCCCGTCGAGCGTAGTAGCATCTCATGGCAATGAAACTCATCATTTTACCCAAGGGAGGCGCATAGACGCATACGAAATACGCGACAAAGTTGCAGGCACGTGTCATTTTCCTTCCTTCCCTCCCTTTACTAATAATCCTTTTCTTCCACCAGGCCAAGATTACGCCATTCTCTGGATTTATCTACACGACAGGTCTCACCTACCAACCCGCTGCCGCACAGTAGGGCCTCCGTTATGGTTCGTACTTCACATTGGATTCCATGCAAGTAACTGAGAATTAGTAGCTTCACAAAATTGTATCTCCCATGATCATTTAATTGAGGAGGGAAACGTTCTAGTATAGGCAGGCCATGAATCCACGTATATCATTTTCCCGACACTTTGGTACATTTTTGACGACCCATCACAATAGATAAATCAAACTCCATTCACCATAAAAGCTCAGTGTATCTCGTGAGACTCGAGACTATCGCTATACGATAGATCCAATTAAGCTGGGAGAATAATCCAAAACGAGAGCGCAAATACGACTGGGAAAAGAATGCAAGGTGAAGGAAATAACTGTTGGACACAGCAGCCCGCGATACGGGGTGAGGATCCCTACGCCGTTAGCTGATAACAAAGCAAAGAATGACTCAGACCCAAACACAGTCGGAATGTACGTCACTTAACAAGCCAGGAAAGGTACGCGAATCACGGTCGGGTTGACAATTATGAAACACAGGGATTGGGGTCGAGGAAGTAAATACTTTTCATAGTGGAAGCTGTACAGGCCGTAGAAAGAAAGACTCGCCCGGAACCGAACTCGGGCCCTACTGATGCGTACATCCCCACTGTCGATGAAATGACGCAAGCTAGCGCTGTGAAAAAGAGCCCGCCCGGCACAGTTACGTCTGGGAAGAAACCGTTTATTGTTATTTGGAGAAGTGAAACTGGTCACAACTCTAAATTGGAAGAGCGTAATTTTTGCCAAACCTTTTGCCGTGAGTGGATGCGCGTGCTTTTTTTCCCTGTGTTATTTAAAATTTCACCTTGTCAAAGCGGGAAGGAGAAGAATGCCGGAAACGGCCCGGATGTTTGGCAGACCCTCAGTGTTTGGCAAAGCCCATTCTCGGCTCTTGATCGCTTTCTTCGTTCCCATTATCTCCACGCGTTCCTTCCTCTCGTTTTTACCACACATCGTTATTCGGTCTCTGCCCTCTTCTCCAATCACTTCGTTTCTTCACGACTTTAGCAATGTTTGACGACGAGTCGAGACCTGTGACGTACACACGCGTTTCCTTGGGGTGGGTACGTAGTCTATTTTTACTTTGCCTCTCGTTCGCTAATTTCTTCTCGCGTGCGTAGATTCTCCTCCCTCTCACTATCCCAGCCTCACCAATTGTTCCGGCGAGCGAGATGGAGGACAGACGTAGACGCTTCTGGGGGGAGAACCAGCATACTCCTCAATAACTCCGCGACCCACATCCACTGCCCGCATACATTCTCGTTATTACCAGCTCGCTAAGGGTCAACTACGCGACTATGTTACTAGTACACGTCGGTACACTACCCCCATTCCGTGGTACGGGTCGCAAAAGTCTTACCATTGGAGTTGGTATCGATCGAACTTTTTCAACCGACGTTAGCACCAGATTCCAAGTCGTGAAGAAGCCGGATGTGTTGTCGATGTGTCGCGGAGTTAGAGATTATGTCAGAGTGCCTGGCACTTTGGATGTACGTCTCCGCACTCTGATTATCGGTATCGAGAACTAATGGTATTCGTGCAGCGTATCACTCGCAGCTCTCAACAACACCTTATGTCTTCTAGCATGACGCATCATGTTCGCTAGTGCGCGTTTATCGCAGGAGACGAGGATGGAAACGTTAGGAGCGTCGAACATGCGTATAAGTAGCAGCGAAGTGCGTCGGGGAAGGCATGTGTTTTTCCTGGAGAGGATTATGTGAGGGTTTCACGGCGATCTCAAGACTGTACGTGTCTATGAATTTGGCGTCGTACCAATCTTTGCACATAGAAATGTTATGAGGTATGTCGTCCAAGTGCTCTCTATGCATCTTTGCCTAACTGTTCCTTCAGTTCATCGACTTCACACCCCAGTCATCCAGCCCCGCCTGGCTACAAGTCACCACCGTCATCGTGAACCTCCGCACATCTGACATCACTCTCGTCACCGGCACTGTGGAAGGCTCCAGCTAATCCACCATCCGCTGACTCTACCTGACTGGAGACGCCGCTGACACACACCATGCCGCCACACTCTAGTGAAAAATCATCCCGAAGAACCCCGACTCTGGCGTCGTCATCGTCCCTACCAACAAAAGCATTGAGGAATCTGTCATGATTCTTATGACGACCGTCATGAACCATTTCGGACGAATCGATTGTTGTGCTAACATCGAAGGTCAGTCTGCACTTTCTCTTATCAACTCAAGCTCAAGTAGTACCATTTTTTATAGACAACGGGTACCAGTACTAGGCTCTCCTTAATACCTACCGAAGACTGGCTCCTACGGGAGCAAATTACCCACATGGAGAATCAAGGAGGCTCGTCACGTATATCACCTCTACAAGGCTCCCCTCCAAGTGCGGGAGCATTGTCATGTCAGCGGTGGTGACCGCCTCACCTACCTACCTCAGAAGCATAAGTATATGCGCTCAAAATATGCGACAAACAGCTTAACCAAAGCTGCAGGTACGTCTCCTTCCCTCGCATTTCTCGCCTTTACTAACACTCCTTTCTCTCTCTCAGCCCAAGACCGCGACATCCGTAGCCATGCCATTCTCCTCGGGTACATCTATACCGAACCCACCCCGCTACCGCGCGCGAGGCCATCTTCGACGAGTGCAAGCAAATGAGATTGTGGACCTCGGAGTTCGTCGAGGAACGAGCTTATGACAGGGACCAGCGTTTCAGTCGACGTTAGAGAGCAGACTCTTTGAATGGCATTTGACTCTTTTCTGCTTTTCGTCGGTGTCAACATCAGCAGGGGACTAGAGTTTCCTCGACGATATCTTAAATACAGGGAGGAACAGCGACGGTGGTGGAAAAAACGCGTTCCGGTCCGTGCCATGTTGGCCAAGTGCTGAGGCGCCATGCTCTTTTGATCCGAACTGCCGTATCATCCAACTGCACCAACACCTATGCTGAAAGCCTTCCTTTCCTTAAGCAATAATTCGGGCTATCAAATGTCACCATCTCACGGCTGAACGTGCAATATTTCTTTCATAAACAGACTAAACGATGATAATCTCGCTATAACTCTTTTTTACGTCTTTCTAAAGCTTTTTCCAGGTTCCCATTCAGTTCTGCAGTTATTCACGGCGAGTCGCCGCTTTGAGACTAGCCTTCAATGATGTACTCTTCAGTAGCTATGGCTGAGTATGCTTTGGACCTTTCCGATATCTCGCGTAATAGGACACACCGGGCTGCATTTTTTCAAGCTAAAGCCTAGCTCCTGATTCTGGTTTTGCGGACGAACGTATTGGTGTCGAGCGTGCTGCCTCGGCATCTTCAAGGTCAAAGTTGGCCACGGGTGGGTGTTCATATAATGAGGTAAGAGTCCAATAGCAGGCACAATTATTACTTACCTCGAATATCTCTGCTGAGATTTGGTGTAACGCCCGGGATGCGAGTTACATCTTTATCCCATGGAAAGATACTCGTTTGTACATGTTTTCTTTTCGCAAAGTAGTCAACGATATTCTCCTCGATCAACTCGCGCCATAACCATCACTACTGGTGTCTGCGATTACTATTTGGAGCATCTGTTCTGGGTGTTTCCAATCGCGTTATTATATCCTCAACGAAGCAGAAACTCAACACTTCTCGCTGTACACCCATATTGGGAGGTATCCGTTCCCCGGCGATAAGCGCTTTTGTTGAAAGACCGTTCCATATCTCTCATCAGACACGTCAGCCGTAATCGAAGAGGAATTCGCAGTATTGATCGTCTCCAGCGAATGAATGCCATTGATATGTCTGCCGTTACGGAATAGGCTGGTATCCATGGTGGAAAAGTACAAATGGAGAAAATGCAGTCAAGCGAGTCAGGGTCAAAGACTGTATGGATCTTGACTTACTGTAATTTAACACGTCTGTCAAATGTTAATCCCATCGTAAAAGGATTTTGGCAGACAGAACTTCTCTATCTTCTTTCGTGAAGGTATGTTAATTCAGAGTCATTAAAGCGGGAACACATTGGATGTGCAGCATCGCTCGCTGAGCCAGTCATTTCCTGCTCTGACGAGTTCGTACCGAAAACCGTATTACTAATGCAGATCTCTGTATCTTGGAAGGAGGCGAATGAACAGAACCTGCTGTAGCGATGTACGACGAGCGGCATAAGTGAACTGATGTTGGCGTACGACGTCAATGTCAGCCAAACGACAATCAGATGAGCCCGGATATTCTGCATAACCAATGTTAAAGGCACATCTGTGCGTCCTGGTGTGAGAAGCAATAGAGCATCCTCGGTAGAATTTATCACTGACAATAAGTTACCATCACAAGTGCAGGGAGATAACAGCAGCCCTTCTACTTGTCTCACTCCACAATTAACGTTAGCACGACCGCTTCTTATGACGGCCACAGAGTCGTACCATTAATGTCCCTTCCGGACGTGCCACGCGGAGCATCTAGAACCGGTACCGTCACGAACCACAGCACCTTCCTCCAGGAGTATCTTTATGGTTAAATGCACCTAACTTCCGAAGAAGGGGCAAGGGGAATTTCCGTATTTTCCGGCCGGTTACATAGGGAAAGGTGAGTTGACAAAATGTCACAAAATAGAATTCTTCTTCCAATGAGTGATCATTTTAAACAACGAGGGCTTAGCTTCGCAGCTCGATGGGCGTCATTCCATCTAACCCTAATTTTGTATTATGAAGGCGCCACATCTATACCGTACGGCGGCGGATAATTACTGAGTAAGTGGCCGGGATGACCGATGAAAAGAGCGAAGTTGGCGCCGCCTTTCACGATGACATGACCCTGGGAGATCAGCCTACAATCTCCGTACTACTACATCCTTCTTTCCCTCGTATTCCACTGCGGCTTCGATGGGCTCTCGTTTATCAGAATATCTGGAAGCTGTTATGCGTCAGGACGCGGTTCTACATGAGAAATGGCATCCGTGTCGCTAAATTAATTAATTACCTCGATAATATGCCAATGGAACATTGTCATTCGTCATTGACCCAAGGCAGGGATAAACAAGTGGAGATTGTCAGGAAGAGGTGAGGTGTAGACGATTGTCACGCCATCGTCTGACTCAATAATAGATGACGGCAGAGTCTGTCAATTCTACGGCGCAAGAACGCCGGGAGCATATACTTCCTTACTTCCCAAGAAAGATAGACGCCGAGATAAGAGCCAACTCGGCGTGGTAGTTCAGGCTGTAAACGAGATGTGATACCTACGATGTACAGACATGTATTCGAGATTCCCTTTCAGAGATTGAGATTTTGGGAGAAGGTGGACCGTTATTGAAGCCTCCAAGTCTTAGAACAGTCGCCTTCTTCTCGAACCTTCGGGTTAACACAGAAAAACCGAATTTAGAGTGTTTGGACGCAGGAAAGTAGCAGGGCAGTGAATGAAGCGGGCGGCGCGTGAAATAGATAAATAGATCAAGGAGAAAAACTTCAGATGCTTGGATGTGCCAACCAGGATGCCGTGATCCTTTCCAAGCTTTATGTCGCGGCGAGTGGCACCCATTCTTTGTAGCTAAAGTTTTGAAGCTAAGTGGTAGTTTGATAAGAAAGTTTCCCTGCCATTCGCAGAGGACTAGATAGGCAGAGAGGTGGAGTCTACCGTTTCGGGGCAGGCTTCGAAGGCTTTGTCGCAGTTTTCCATTGTTTACCGTGGAGCTTTGCACTATCACAATCATTTTTACCTTCCACATATCACGAACGACTCTATTTCGGGAGTAACTTAACCCTCCTGATTTGTCTGTCTTCCTTGGCGACGGTGACAATATGTACTTACGGAATCAAGAACTATATGTTTCCTTCACGAGCCCGATTCCATCTAAATCTGCTAACTATGTAGTGTCTCAATCAGATATTCATACTACGAACCTCGAAACGCCCATTCAACTCTTTGAAACGTCCACATCTTTCTCTTAATGCCTTGTTTTGGTCCCTTGCATATTTACGTCTCGAAGAAAAGGATAGAAGTCATCTCGACCATGAATGCCACGAATTCAACAGCGCGGGAGCGCAAGTCACTTGTATGTCAAAATGAACCCATGTGACCAACCTTTATTAAATGTTTCCTGGCAGTGACTGTGTTACGCAATTAGAGTGGAGGAGGTTTGTATTCTAGTCATGATGGTATGGAATCTGTTTGCTACTGAGTCGTTACGTTTGTGCGGGGCCAGGAGAATTTTGCGAGCGACACTTGCGAGCTTGCGTTCAACTGCGTTCATTTGCGTTCAACTCAAGTTGAACTGCGTTCGCTTGCGTTTAACTTGCATGCATTTGTGCGCCTATGGATACCTTTGTTTGTGTTTCATACGAATGCTTAGTTCTGTTTTAAAGTCACTAGTAAAGTGTGTCTTATCTTGAACATTTACTTACCTTTTCCGAGTTCCTGGATATGTCCCACCAGGTTAATGTCACTTACTATGACTCAGGGAAGCCATTGAATAATATTTTAATGCTAGAAAGGTACCTGTGTTCGCTACAAAAAAAGTTCCCTCCATCACAGCGACATTTCACTTCGAAATGACTATGAGATCTGACCTTTTTTTGAACTTGGCAGGATGAACAGGTTCTCAAATGAATAAACCTTGCTTACGTATCTCACAAAGATGTCACGCATGCATCCCAAAGTCGAACGCAAGCCTTAAGAAGATGCACGCATGTGTTCTCCAAAATAACGCATGCGATTGGAAATTAAATGCATGCGAGCGGTAGCGGCTCGCAATTGGCTCGCAAGTGTGACGGATGTGTGACATCGTGTAACATTTGCGTTCGACTCGAGTTGAACCGTCTTCACTGTTGGTCGCTTCTTATATTTCTGCGGCATGGGCTTCCTGTCATTATATCTTGGTTCTTTTGATATTTTTATGATTCTTACTGTATGGAACTTAACCTTCTCTGGCCCACGACCTCTGCAAGACCTCTGTTTGGGTTCTCTTCTTCGGGCTGTCTTGAACTCCTTCCTGTGAGTCTGTCCGCATCGTACCTCAATTTTCTTCGGATTATACTCTACATCGTGACACTTCTTGAATGTATTATTGATCTACTAGAATCTCGAGTTGAATAATTACTCTGCAACTCAATGTTTTGGCTCTTGATTTTGGACTTTGAACTTTGAGGGGGGATTACCTCAAAAGAACCTTCAACGTTGTAATCGTCGGCAAATGGTATTATATCATCTTCATCTAGAATCACTGGCTAACGTCTGCTACTATTTTTAGATAAGAAATTCCGAGACAGTTCTTTGTCACGCTCGCAAACGAAAACGCAAGTGTGACAACGCATGCGAGAGAACGCCAACGCACGCTCGCAAGTGTGCTCGCACAATTCTACGTGCCCGTTTGTGCGGAGGGTTCTTAAATGTAAAACTGATACTGTTACCCTTGATTCATCCCTACTTGTTCATATTCAGATTCTGAACAAACTCTGGTACTTGTCCTGATACCACAAGCGGGATCTACGGAATTAGAAAGGTATAACTACGGTTATTTCCGCCTGCTCTAGTTGCTATGTAACGATCTATAGGATTATGAATACGAAGGACTCATACAACTTCCGCACTTTTTGCTGGAATAATGAGCCTTGCATCGTCCTCCTCCACGCACGTAACACTGCCCTCCGCATTCAATTTTGACTGACTCTGTAAACCCCCTGGATGCATAGTATTATCTGGTGAACCCGGATTCGTATTCCCGGATTGATTTCCAGAGGCAACACGAAGGAGTATCAAAGTCGGCGCGATGCCCTGCCAAAATCCCGTCAGAATTGTCCCTTAGCGATCGATAGAGACTCACTGTAACAGAAACCAGAACAACTTGCGGATAAAGACTATTTGGGTTATTCGTTGCGATGAACGGGATGTAAATCACTAGCGCGATGACATATAATACGGCAGATTCTACCATGATCTCCATGACTCGGTAGTATGGATTAACGGCAATGGATAGAGACAAGCTGGTAGTGCTCGCTTGAACCAGCCGGTACACGATGAGCACTGTACATATGATCGTCGTCGAGAGTGTCATACTATAGTATGCTACTCCCCATTTGATAGAGTCGCTTCCCCACGGAGTCGAAGAACTACCTTGCGAACCGGTAAAGGGCGTTAACTCTTGAAACAGGAAGAAAATGTCGAAGACTTGGAACAGTAAGTGATTTGAGTTATGTTCAGAGTCCTAGAGACTTACGTGTTCCACAAAGTGTGCATATGGAAGGAAGGACGATGATCCTCCAATTCCTTCCCCATATGACCCAGCACCGCCAAATCTAGGAAAATGTCGCATCAAAACATTAATCTTATAGAGATCTGCCACAAGACGTACGATCACACAATCAGCCATTAATATATTTGTACTCGCGACGACGCTAGCAATCGTCGGTACCCATAATGGACCACCGGCAATAAGTGAGTCTATGAGTGCGAAGTACCTGGTTTCCTCCGTCTGTCCCTTTGTAATGAATGCTCGTCTAGCATAATACCATCTTACAGCGATGTGAATCGTTGCCATGATATACATGAAGACGGAAATTCCAGCGAGGACCTTCGTCTGCCTCCTAGGGGGAACACTGAACAAAACTACGTAATTATCCTGTCAGTTGTGATCTCATTGTGGGGGATGGGTACGCACGGATCCGCCATAGTACAACTGCAAGCAACGCGGTATACATCCCTGAGTCATAGTCAGTGCTTTTTGGGTATACATTTGAAGATAAGTCACACCGTGTGCTAGGGACTCGATAATAACTGCGTTGAACCAGGAGTCAGACAACTGTGTTGCAGCTGCTTCCATGGGTGAAATGCCTGGGTCGATCTGCGATATGGCGTCAAGCTACTTGTCAGGATATCGAGGGAAGAGAAACTATCTGGCAGTCAAGCGAAACATGAGAGTTTTCTTAAAGCATTGAAGCATTGGTAAGACCGCCATCATTTCTAAGCAAAATAATATTAGACTGGCTATCCTAAGTACAGAAATACAGGACTCACTGATGAGAGCGTTCAGTTGCCAGAGAACGATATCCAGATGCACAGGCTTTGATCTTTTCCTTGGAAATGATCAAAGAAAACTAGTCGTACTTTGATTGTGTCGTTTTCTTGTGTAAATTTACTTCATCATGGGCATCTCGGGGATCTATGTCTCGTTGATTCCATTGAATATGACATCAATGCTGCCATAAGTTCCTGCCGAAGATGAATTCAAAAAGTGCCCTACGTGATCAAAGGAATTCAGTTCGGGAGAGTCAAGTTATTAGTAGGCTACGGGAGCCCAAGGCGATGTAAGTCTATTTCCTCCTAACTCAGCTCCCAACGCCGAACGTGTTCACTATCAACGGGATAAACATTTGATCCACTCGAACGGACAAATCACCATGATACAAACCTGAAATGATAGACTTGAAATGCTAAATGCATCACGTTTGAAAGTGCTAAACACATCCCGATTTGAAGATGAGTAGTGCCAGTCATGGATCCGACTCGGAGAGCATATACAAGCACTTTACCAATAAATCTAAATTTGTTCTGTAGTAACTTCGAAAATATTATTTTCTTCAAATGCGATGACTTGCCAACCCAACGCCGACCAACCAGGCCACAAAGGGAATCCCGGATCTGTGAAATATAAAGGAGGGATTGGTCACATAAACGACCACGTCCATTTGCGCTCGCAGACCTGGTCCAGACAACCCGAAGCATTCCTGGAGAATGAATCTTTCCACCCTGCTCATCGCGATCACCTGTGCCATGGCTGTGGGTACCCAATGCATGCATTAGACTCAAAAGATACTGAAACCATTGACAGACATATTCCTATGCGCTAGCAAATCCTGAACCGTGCGCCACCCAAACCTGCTGGATACCACCATCTAACTCTGGATGAAGATATCAGAGATAATACACAGAGGCATTTGGAACATTTATTAGACTCGTCGTTGGACAGGCAGTCAGATAGATCATTATGGCTACGATATTTCACATAGTGGGTTTCGATTTGTGCATAGCTATTATATTCCTTAGACTGTAGTCGAGGTTATCATACTATAATCACCAACACGGTGCATCTACACCTGGCACGAATAGCGCACGGTTTATCCCCCGACAACTACGGCAGTAGCGGACATTCTATCTTCTCAAAGAGAAGTGTCGAAAAGAAAAAGAGCGGTATCACCACCACCCACCGCCTCTGCCTGCTCCAGGTTGCACCTCAAAGTATGCACACTATCGTGGACCTCCCAGAAGGCAACATTTTCCAGCGTATATTGTATCTAGAATTCGCATCTTTCCCATCCAGCATCCGGCTTCCACAAATGATTTCCGCGACACGGCAGAAGACAACCGCTGCCTCGCCCGCTTCTCCACACCAACGCCTTCCTCCTGTTTCAGAGGGAGACGAACGTTTCTTATCCAGAAGCAGCTTCCCCAAACAAACGCTCCTAACCCTGCGTGAGCAAACCTTTTCGTTAGCGACTGCAGTGCATTTTAAGATCCTGGCCTGAGGTTGGATCACTCGAGGGACTGAGAGCTATCCTCCCTCTTCTTATCCTCGTTGCGCAATGATAACCGATTAATCAAAGTCGGATTGTATGACGACGAAGACGCCAAAGTCGCAAGACAGTATGAAACGGGGCTTCTTGGACCGTGACCGGTGCCGGTGCCGGTGAAAGGTGAGGTGTCTCTGCTCTCATTTCCTTTCACGTCGGATTCAAGTCCAACATCACTCAGGGTAGCACTACAAAGTTGGTCGGTAGCTTTGGATTTTACCTTTCACGTCTGGAGGTCTGGACGGTTTGTAGTCGAGGAGGGTGCACTGTAGGAGGTACGGAAGGAGACTCGGACGTTCCGCTCGTACTAGGGTAAAAGGTGATCGGGATATTGACCGCTTGCGTTTAATCGTAAACGCTTCAGCGCCATAATATGAACAGACATAACCGAGTTAACGAGCCAAAGGGGCGCGAAGGATGTAACAAACGTAGCACATCTATCTTTGTGTACAGTGAACAGGCTCAGTTGCCTTCAACAAGCAAAAAGGAAGAGATAGCGTCAAAGTACGACAGCAAAGACGGAAGCCAGGTCGACGAGGCATAGGAACAAGGAATAAAGAAATAGTGTCAAAAGACGAGATCTAGCACAAAGAGGGTGATAGTCAACTAGTCGCTTCGGTCCCAGAAAATCTGCGACGGTCGTTGTCTCATTCTTGCGATGTATGTCTCGTCCCAAATGGTCGCTCCGACCGAGGACGATGAAAGGAGTTATAAAATGGCTATCCGAGTAATGGAAAGAGAAATGAAGAGGCATATGTGCCTATGGATATAGAGACATACACCGAAATTCGAAATCGGTTCCGGAAGCCACAGTTGATAGGGGTAGGTGCTTGTGCTGCATGATGAAAGAAGGACCCGTCGTGTAAATCGGCGAGGAAAGCATTGAAAAGGCAGTAGACCCTTCCTTCGAGCAGGCGGCAGGGGCAGGTGGGAAACAGCAAAGGGAGGGGATGGTAACAATGACGTAGTCCTGCCTCGAAGGATGGTCTTGGTAGGCAACAAACGCAGACTAGACTTCATATCAGCCTAACGCACATCCCGAATATGAGGAACCTTATAGGCACAGCTCACTATCCATTCTCTAGGATGCGCTCAAAGCGACGGATGAAAAGAAAAAAAAAAAAAATAGAGCGACATCGCCACCATCTGCTACTTTCAAACACGATACGCCCGGAAGAGATGCATCATACTGTCATTCCGTCCCCCTTTACTTCTCCCTCAGTGTTTCCCATCTACTATCACCACCCTGCCCCCTCGCCCACGCATGCCCTCTCTCCTCCAACATTAACGTCCCTTCTTCTCCATATGCCTCTTCCTATTCCTGACGACATCACACCATCCACGTTCAGAGGGTACGGGTTGAAAGTCTGCCTTTAAACACTGCAGGATGCCGCTTCCTTCACGTCGGGAGGCTTCGTAGTGGAATACAAAAAGAACAGAAAGATCATCACACGCGGTGCCTCTTTAGCTTTACCGTGCTCGACTCTGTGTGATTGGCGACTGCGCTAACATAACCGACTTAGCCAGCCAAAGGGACGCGCTGGACAAGAAAGGCTACGCAAGCACATGTAGCAAATCACTTCTGTGCGTCAACGTGACGAATCTACATCCACGATTAACATTACGAAAAACGCGCAATTTATCCCTAACGACATCACTCGTACCCCCTCAGTGGTAGACATGATTTCGCATAGCATCGTGTTTTAAAGATAACAAAAATATCCTTGTCGCCCGCCCCGAAGGCGCACACGTTATCTAGGTTCTGAGCTTTACGACTCTAGAATCAACTCGCTGGACTGTGAATTCTCTATCGTGCACGACGGGGGTAACTCGGCAATCAGATCCTTGCATGACGGTTTATACGAGGTAGGAAGACAGTCATTCCCTCGCCCGTTTCTCAGCCGCAAGTCGCACCCTCACCAACCTCAACCTCCGCTCAACATCATCAGCAGCTACTTCAGGGTGAGACGCGCGCCTCCTCTCTTCCAGGAGCTTCCCCAATAAACGGGCCCGACCCTGCGTGAGCAAGTCTTCCTTCTTTTCCACTGATGACTGTATTTCACGACCCCGGTCTGATTTTGGATGAGAGAAGGTTGGATCAGAAGAGCTATCCTCTCTCTTCCTACTCTCACCTCCCGACGATAACCGGGAGAGCAAAGTCGTCGACGCCAAAGTCGTACCCAAATGAGCGCGTAAAGAATCCATAGCGGTGCGGGGGGGTTTCTTGGACTGCGGCTGTATGATTTCGGTGACATTAGAGGGTGCCAGCGAGAGACGAGGCGTATCTTCCCTAGACTTGCCCTTCACATCAGATTGAAGTCCAACATTACTCGCGGTAGCACGAAGCGGTTCGTCCGTAGCTCTTGATTTCCCCTTCACACCTGGAATTCTGGACGGTTCGATGAGATCGGTAATCGAGGCAGGTGCGTCCGCTTCCTCGAATATAGTCGCTCGGGCTGCGGGAGGATCCAGAGAGTGAGGTGAAGCTCTGCTCGCACTAGGATAATGTCGACCTGACGGTGACCAGGATATCGAACGGACAGGAGAGATATCATCTTCGCGCCATCTGCCATCTCGAGGTGATGTCGGTGCATCGCCGTGGTTGCAGGGGGTTGGTGACCTAGATCTGGACCTGGACCTCCGGCGGGAGTGCTCGTCTGAGTCTCGCCATCGTCTTGGTCTTGGTCTTGGCGGTGAGCTCACATGGGAAGGCATATCATACTAGTCAAGCAGTCGTAAGTACAGAGAGAAATATATGGACTGGATTGTTATTACGCACCTGGACGACGGAGTCATACACGAACAGGTCCTTGAACGGCGACCTCACATATGCGTAGACCTCTGCTCGCTTCAGTAAAGAATGTTCAGCAGGGAGCGGCGGCTACTCACCATGTGCGAAGTGTTCTGCCATAACCCTTCCACCCGTATCGATGTCCAAAAATTCCGCCAAGAGCTTCACGGCTGACTCGGAGCGTATATCGATAGATTTCATGAGCGATATCGTGAACGTCATGAAGAACTATGCTCCCGATTAGCCTTCCACATGACACATATCCAAGATAAGACACGTACCTCGACATCAAGGTCATCCCACACTCTCAGTTCACGCCGAAGAAACATTATCGTCTTGCTCACCATCTCCTGGCTTGCAGCGAACTGCGCTGGAGTGGGGTACGGCCGGTACTTTGTATACCCATTCGAGGCGACATGCTACGAAAGAGTCAGACGGAAAAAGCATAACGACATTGAACGCACCTTGGCATAAAGCCCATGCTCGTAAATCCACCGCCGTTTCTCTATCGACCGCTCCAGCTTATCCGCCTCGTCCTGCTCTCGTCTTCCCCGCTCCCTTCTGCGCCTTCGTCTACGCACATCGGGTTCTCGTTGGGGTGCAGCGCGCAATGGCAACAGTCCAGGCGTTGACAGAGGCGCCAAATAGTGCTTCTGATAGTCGTACCGCGATCGGATCCGATGGATGAGGTATTCCCCGGTCGTCTGAGCACATAACGGGCACTTCCTCGATTGCTCTAAAAGACACAGCATCAGCACACACACCCACCATAGATGAAAAGTCAGCTCACCGGTCCAAACGACGAGACAATCAAAGCAAAACTCATGCGAGCAAGTAGGGATGACGGTCCGGTCTACGAAGGGCTGCAGGCATATGCTGCAGTTATCTTCATCTTCGTCTTGGATTTCTGGTGGCGGTGATGGCGACTCGAGCTTGACGCGTTTGCGAGGAGGACTGGAAAAGCTCATGGGCGGGAGGAAAAGGAAGGAATCGACCAGCTGACATCATCACTTAGGGGTCGATGACCAATTTCATTTGCCGGTTCGGAACGGCAGGGTTCGTGCCGGACTCGGGTTACTTCTCGCGATGTTTCTTGCCTGGCTCTGGTTTCGATTTCTGTGCCCCTGCATTTTCTGAATTCTTCTTGTTGGAAATCGGGGTATCGGTTCGTTCCCAGTGTCACATGTGCAGTAGCAAGCCAATAGTATTGCGCTTGGCTGAGCTCTGCAAACGCATGAGGATCTACGCTAAAGTACCTACTTTTATACTAAATGTACTTTTACTAGAACTTTCCACGCTTTTCCTCAGACTTCTTCCTTAATAAGCAGACTCAGCATGATGCCGGATTGCCAAATCCCAACACTTCTAAATGTGAAAAGTGCGTCAGGTTGAAGGCTACCTTCAAGCCAAGCATCGAGTGCTATTCCGAGGACCCAAATCTACGGGGCGGAGTATACCGAAAACGGCATGTTTGGCAAGTCCAATTCGGGATCTCGGCCTCTTGATCGACATCATCATCTCCATACCTGCCTTTTTCCTTTCTTTCGCTTGTTGCATACCTTGTTTCCACTGCGACTTTAAATTTTAGCATGGGGGTGCACTCTCATTTCATGACCTTTTCAATCCGAGCTGATACCTGTGACGTACATACGCGTTCCTCTGGGTTACGGGGTACACAGTCTATTTTTGGTTCACTTCCTGTTGGCTCATGTCTTGTCGCGTAGATCATCTTCCTGGGAACATCCACCCTCCTATCTCTCCTGACTCACTGTACCAATGACAAGTATTTCGTTTAAATGATTATCTCAACCTTGCAAATTTGCACCAGACTGAAAAGCGGACGGTGGTCGAGCGTAGGGGAACACCATGGCAGACGCGTCCTGAGAGGGATCGTATGCCCTCCGATTGACGGGGGATGAGCGGAATACACTCACGGGAGGAAGTATGTATAGTCTGCACTCTGACTATGGGCGTCGAGTACTTTTATCATTTGTGCAGCATGTTACCCTCCGCGCCGTTCAACCCAACATCCGCCGCTTTCAAGGACATCTTATGTGCTGCAGCATGAAACACTTCGCTCGCTACAACCTATTTATCACAAGAGCCGTGGACAGACGACATCGAAAACGGGTACAATGTGGAGGCGAGTCGCGGAGAGAATGCATTTCGCTCAGGTGTCGCAAGCTAGGGAGGGGTACGTGGTTTGGAATCAAGCCGTTGTATTTGTTGCTGACATCATTGAAGATCAAGACAACGATCTCAAAACCACGGGTCGCTGAAAATTCGATGTTATAGCAATATTCCACAGCGGCATTTTACGAAGTATGTTTTGAACTTACATGCGCATATTTAGCTGATTGTTCTTTCAGTAATAATTCCTCAACCTCATTCTATGTCGTGGAGATAAAATATCGCGTTACCAGTGCCGGTCACAACTGCGACTAAGCCTTCATCCTCCTTCGCTGAACCGAGCATCCGCATCCTGGTCTTCACTGGGTGCACAACCACGCAACTCAACGTCACCACCTTCTAATTTAGAATCATTGTCGACCACCCGGACCTTAAGGACGCCCTCATTCGAAGACTATCAAGAACATCATGCAAACTACCGTAGACCTTTTCGACCAAGTTCGAACGTCGGCAGGGTTATTCAGCGATTTCTCTTCTACCAACACGAGTCTTGTGTTTTTGTATAGATGGCGGGTACCAAGACGAAACTCTTCTCTATACCTACCGGGGAATTCCATGCTATTCAGCTGAACGGTATCTTCTGGCTCGTACGGGAGCTAATCAGCATCATGGATAAGCAAGGACGACTCACCATAGCTATTACTTCTCCTAAGCTCCTCACCGAGCTTCAGAGCATCGTCTATAGCAAGGGCAATCATCACCTTACCCGATAGATGCGTATATCCGGGACAAAAGACTTACATAACTAAAGTTCCAGTACGTGTGCATCTCCCTTCTCCATCTCATTTACTGAAAATCCTTTCTCTCCCACCAGCCCACCACCCTGCCCCGTCGTAACGTCATCCTCCCCAGATTCATCTCTGCCGCACCCGAGGCCTAGGCAAAGCAGGCGAATCAGTAGCCTCATCGTCATGATCAATAGGCTTCTCATCGATAAGGAGCAGCGTTCTGTGCGATCGTTCAGTGGAGAGTAGACTCATCAAATGTCATCTTGCTCTTTTTACCTCTTTTTCGTCGGTGTGCACTCTGATGCAGTACATGAGGCAGCGTACGGCAAAGCTCGGTGATATCTTCCCGGACCGAAACATCACAAGTTAATCACGAATTTGTCAGTCAGGGATGATCGAGTTCTCAGATTTCAGGTCTCGCTAGCCATTCATTGTGGTGGCGCCTTTATTTTTTTCTGTGCTGCAGCTTCTCTCTGAACTGCAGACCTCCCGCTTCCTGCCTGTTCTCTCCCAAACTTGAACAAGACCCTAGTGATTGTGCTCTGAATTCCAATCGGTGGCCTGCCATCGATTCCCAGGGGATTGTCTGCGAGTCTTGGTGCTACTCCGCCCCGGATTTGTTGGTTGAACGGGGGATGATCAGGCGCCTCGAAGAGAGAATACTCTGCTCATATTCGCCGAAGAATGCAGACATCGCTAGCGGGAGTTACCAAGATAGACACGTTTGAGGAAGGATCAGTAGACTCCTCTATAAATCCCCGTTCACATCCAACCCATCCACCCAAAACTCTGCCATCATACATTCTTACTACTAGCGTGCTATATGTAACGACTATGTTACTAAGATGGATACACGAATACAGGTGTCATTACCAATGAAACCTGTAAAGCTGACGTTAGCACTGGATTTCAAATCATAGCGGAGTTGGATCTGTGGTCTGTGTGTAGTGGCATAGAGGTTATGGTAGACTGCACCCGAGTGTCTTCCATATGTGTTCGGAGTTTGACTATCAGTGTTGAAGAGCGTCGAGGACTAATATCATTTATCTGCATCCTTCAACTGACCACGTGCTACTCTCAACAACACTGTACTTGCTCCTTCATACCACAAACCTGTTTACCAGATCAGGTGAGGAAAGAGGCGTCAGGAGCATTGGACAAGAGCATAATGGGAAGGCAGGCGATGGATGCATGGACACAATAAGTCTTGCTAGAGTGCTGTGGGCTATGGAGGGTCCTGGGAGATGTATGTGCTCCGGAGCGGATGTGCTCCATATGCATCATCTGCTCTGTCTATCACAGTGCAGATGATATAACATGTCGCATCCGTAGAATTGTGCACAGCCATGGTAAACCACCCTAAGTTGCTTGAACGATGAAGCAAGTCAGTCAACACATGGGTCCATCAACGGTAACTGGTATTTCATCGGAGCCTGAAATTTAAAAGCCTGGAAGCCTGAGCACACCGGACACAGGCGACAAAGAGGTATCTCCTGCCGATCGCTGGTGCACCTGCACTCGAAAAAGCAGGCAGTTCAACGAATATTGTTAACATATCCGATACGTCGATAGGTAGCTATAAATGTTTTTACAGTGATGAAGAGGGTAAAGATCATTGAGTGCTCCAGATATCGACTATGTCCGTTCACGAGAAAAATCGCATGAAAAAGGCACTAAGATCCTTATTGCTCAGTCGTGCTGCAACAGGACAAATTCACTAACCGATATCAGAACCATGCAGAGACGGGCGCCAAATATTCACAGCGAGAGCGAACCAGAGCACGCACTGGTAAATCCGCGAGTAAGCAGTAAATGATCCCTTTTTTCGGGGTTACAACTTACCGGCCCGGATGAACTGCGAATGATTTGCCGGATGATTGCCGACCTTCTGTCCTGAATGTGAACGTCTATCCCGCCCTTTACGCCAGATACTTATAGACAGTCTTCTCCATATTTCGCAACCAAGTAAAACAGGTGTGATCCAAAGCTACGCATCATTTTTTTAATATGGCCCAATGTTTTCCACTGACGTTCTGCCTGTCAGGTTCTCTGAAGATTGCCTCAGGTGTTTTGGGAAGACATCAATCTCTGCGACAGCACAACACTTATCAGAGCGAATGCGATGAGTAGAAAATTGAAAATGAGAACACGTACTAAGTCTCTCCGGCGAGGGTTAATTTGCTCGATGACCTTCGTGCGCCTATCTTGGATATTGTTATTTTATCATCACTAACCGGAAACACTGTGGCCTTGATAGATCCTAAAACAGTTGTTCACGAAGACCAGCGTCGTCAAGGCGACAACCTATACCCGAAAAAAAAAAGGGAAAATGAACAATAGAATCCTTAACCCAGATCCGTATTGTTCTTTTCGGTACATATTCCATCCAAAATGAACCCACGAACTCAATATCTTCAGCGATGGATGACACCACTGCGACCCAGAACGAATTCCTTACCTTCCTCCTTCTCCTAGGCCACCAAAATAATGCTGTAACCGGACTTCGCCGAGCGATGAGCTCTCTTCGCCTAGTAGAGGGTTACTTGAACCAGGGAGAATTACTCCTTCGGTCACTTATAAGGGTGAGATTACCGTTGCCATTCTCAGACTTGATATTAAGTACGGATTCCAGAGTAAAGAACCGCGACCTGAAATTCCGCAAATACAGCCACAAACTCCCTTCAGCATCCCCATCTGCGAAACCAATTCCACTCCGATGTCTCTTTTATTGCTTCCCACCCGATGATCGTCGCATAATCTACTACCAGAAGCTACGAAACCCGTACCACCTCGGCCGCAAAAATCAGTTCATCGATCGCCGGCAAAATCTCTGGAGGAGGGAGACGTACTATCAGGCGCAGAAGAAGAGTCATCCCTTCCCATACAAGAAACCAAACTCGCTCGTCCACTGCGAAGAATAACACAAAGGATCCCTCCTCCAAGGATCAGCGATGGCTTGAAAGCTGAGCTTCAGGCAGCAGGAATATCGATTGATCCCGCAGAGCCTGCGCCTGTGGAGCCTGTACCCTCGAGCTCGAAGATGAAGTCAACCGTGTTTGTCATGGATTTCATGTCTTTTCCGGTCTGTACATGAGTCAACACATGCCTACTCTCGGTCTTCTCGGCCTTGACCTCGGCTTACTAGTATTTTCTTGCTAATACTAGAATCATAATGACTCAATCCCTTACTAGTGGTATATAAATATTGTACTTGCCCTTGTATTAGAATCTTACCGGGTTTCTACAAAATAATGAGAATCGATCGAACTTTTTTTCGGCTGCCCAATATAGTAATTCCCCATTTTGGATTCCACCAAATGCATAAGCACTGCGAATTATACCTTCCTGACGTACAACTGGGCTATATTCCTCCGAATTACCCATCAAAGGCTCTGATATCACCACCCGGGCCTTTGGTTTGTGATCCTCATGAATCCGCTAATCTGGTCTGTCAAATCCCAAATCAGCGGTATTTTCTTCATCACTGCAGGCTCCATTGCATGACTTGATGACACCAAAACATTGTGTACTGCTTCGGGAATCAATTCTAAACCATTTATTCTTTCATTACTGTTGCTCTTGGTGTTGAGTCGCTGTTGAAAGAAAGCCGGTACCTATGAATTACTATATTGGGCAGCCGAAAAAAAGTTCGATCGATTCTCATTATTTTGTAGAAACCCGGTAAGCTAATTTTACTCCTCTTCGAACGTCCACTTAACTGTGTGAACTAAGCAACCTTGATCGGTTACGCCAAGCGCTTGCCAATCAATTGCTTTCCGACTACGCCTAGCGCTTTTCGGAAATCCTGTCAGTTACGCCTAGCGCTTGCTGACGCCCGTTAACTACGCCTAGTGCTTGTTAGCACCCTTACAGATCCCTCTTGGTGGTTGGAACTCGGCTTTCGGACATTCTCACTCGCAACTTGGGTTTTACTCGAGTATTCATTACTTCATGTATTAGCTCGAAATACCCTAATCCTTAACGTTGTTCTTCGTGATCGAGAACGGTGTGGCGACGAAGCATCAACTTTCAAAGTCGCCGATGCGGAATAAGGATAAGGCAAAGAAGGAGAGGAATTTGCTTCAGAGGGTTGTAGGTTGGGTGTTCAAACGCGATGCATGAGTCCTTAATTTGGACAAAACCAATGAGGGTACTTAACGATTCATGAATACTGAGAGTAATGAATAATGAACATTCGTGACACGCCTTCTATCATATATGGTCTTTCTCTGTGTAAGCAATGCCAGATGGGGATGCATTGTTTCAATAAGAGATCAACGCGGCCCATGCATCGGAACCGGATTCGAGTGTCGTGCCTATCATGAAAATGTAAAGTTCAAGAGACATCAATGCAACAGACACTTACGTGGTACATATGAGCCCTTGGATCTCAGATAAAGTCATTGGAATACTGTCCTCCCTCAATACTATTATGAATTCTGGAGTCTGGACCACAGCGTCGAGGTCTAGCGAGGTGAAGGAAAGGGATTCGACTGGCGATCTGAAGCACTTCAGAAAACTTGTAGAAGCCTACAGCTGAGAATTACATTGCCATTTAACGTTAACTTTTAACTCAATCGTTTTAGACCGCATTCAGTCTCCAGAAGAAGGCAGAACCGCCACGCGTTGTCGTGTTTAAGGGTAAGGTGTGACCGGATTGTTCCGTGGACCGGAGTCGGAACTTTCGGCCGTAAGTCAACTTCTGACCAGCAACTTCGATGGTCATTCGTACCTACCGCCAATTGACAGTCTCTTTTCGCTCCCGTATCACGTATTTAGGGAACGTATCTTGTGAAAAAAGCTAGGTAAGCTTCCGGTGCTACTTGCTGTGTCCATCATTCAACTGTCCTGATCATTACAGTTGGTTCGCAGCACGTTTTCTTCGCTCGTACGATAGTTCTCCTTACTGGAGATATGGATCAAATTTATTGGCAGCCAGCAGGATGTGGCTGAGCGCTAGTCGCACTCATCATGCATCAGGCAACACGTGTTACTGGCCCTTAGCAGAATCATGGAGGGAGAGCGTTCGTCCCATTATCGCGTTCCCAATATTTTTACCATGCTGATAAGGCAGTTCTATGTTAGCGAGAGGAATCCTTCAGATTCTCCAAGTGTGCTATCCCCTACAGTTCGACATCTGGAATATCTTTGATTGCCGCTTCTTCTTCGCCCGCACCGCGCAGTAGCTTCATCCAAGCTGGGAGCAAATCTGTGACTGTACCATGAATGCGGACGAGCACCGGTTGTTGGACGAATCACCACGTACCAAAATGGCCTAGCTTTCTTTTTATTCAGTCATCCTACGCCACAGATCATATTTCGCGCTTGAATGAATTTGATGTTCGGACCAAAGTCCCATCAAGAATTCATGATCTCGTCATTGCTGCCATCACGAACCATAGGTTCTTCCTTTGTCGTCTGTTTTGGGAAGCGCGGTCATACCAGGCCTAAACGTCCGATTTCCTGCTGCGCCTTACTAGGCGGACCTTTCTCTAGCCTTTTTCTGCGTTTCTTCAACGTGACCATTCATATCATTCTCGTCTCATCCTTTGGTACCTTATCGTTCAATCCATCTCATCTTCGGGATCCACCGCGTACCATGTCGTGGTGCTTTGTTAACTCGGGTCCATCTCTTATTTCAAAAATGTATTTTCGAGAGCCTTCGAGCAGCGCATCGAACAACTGATTTTGGGGCAGCTACTCGACCATTACAGTACCATGACCTCCTCGACTGGGATGACTTCGCGCTTCGAGTATAGCAATTCCCATATCCCTATCATCAAACCTTGCTGTGATCCGTTCACTCCTTGCGACTTCACAGAATATGAATTCATGGCGCGCACCTACATCCAGAGCAATGAAGCTCTTCTTCTTTCAAAGCACGTTGCTTGTTTGTCGCTCGGTTTCAAGGATCCACTTGTACGAGACTGGTTCATGGCCGATATGACGCGTCTTTGCTCGTTGACGCTTACTAACTTCCTGTCTGAATTACGGGCAGCGTTTCTTCCGAGAGACTGGGATCGGAAGATGAAGGATTCCATCTTGGCGACCTATCAGGGAGTAGACGAACCCGTCATCGTAAGGATAACACGACTTCGTTCTAAGAACACCTTCCTCCGGAATACGGCCCATCATCTCAGCAATCACGAGCTCCTCGAACATTTCAAATCACACCTCAATAATCATCTCTCCTCCATACACCTACGCGACACTGATGCTCCGATGGAGGATGACCTCATGCAGTGGATCCTTTTGATCAGGTGTCTCGAGGAAACGGGTGATGATGCTGATCGCGATTCAGAGAGCGACATAACGACTACCACGGCAGTACCCGCCACGCCAACTGATCCACGTCTGCACAAACGTGACCCAGATTTATCACCAAAACGCGCGACGACCAGTCCTCCTCTTCCTCCCTCGCCCATCCCTCGCACCAACAACGTGCCCAAATCATCGTCCCTGTCCTCACTCCCACCGCCACCCTCATCCCCCACGCTCCTACTCAGAGTTCACAGTCGTTCATTACCGGATCGACCCAAGTTTGATCCATATCCGAGCCTTCCGTCGCTTACGAATGAACAGAGGCACTTTTTGCGGAGTCGGCAGGGATGCTTTCGGTGTAGAAGGATAGGTGTTCGACATGCAGGAGGAGAATGTCATGGGGAGCCTAATCCAGCGAGTCATCGTGGTATCATGCTCCCGGATGGTTTAGGCCTCGCGAGGGACGCACCTAGACAACGCCATTCGGAAGGCGGGTCTCCAACGCTGGCGTACCCGGATGATGGTCACGACGATAGAAGGAGGAAGTACGGGACGGGGTAATTAGATCTTTAATATTTCTTGTTGAGGAAAACCGGTCACCATTCCAGTCTCATTTTCATCTGATCCGCATATTTTATTCGGATATGGAGATTTTAACGCAATCCATACCATACCTGCCAATACTGAAGATTCGTATCCTTCTGCGCGGCTCTGGGATTGGAAGAGCATTGATGATCTAGTTAGTATTATTTCCCGTGTTGTTACACAGTAATAAAGGCTCGAGATGTTGTCATGTATTACGAGGGCAATCGGATACAGATCGACTTGGAAGTGAAATTTCAGAGACACAAGGATGTTTAACTTATGGGACGGAGATGGGAAAGTATAGGCGTCAGATGCATAAACCGCGGAAAAGAGATCTTGACTTATGAGCTCTGGTATCAGGTACTTGTCATATGTCACTATTGCTTGCATGCATAACGTATACCTCAAGACGCGATAACGTCAACGAGGGATAAAAAAATTCTCATAGACACCTAAATCAAAGCCTTCAATCTACAATATCGACTAATTCACGATCTATAGACATCCTGACCGATAACGAGTGTATGATATCTATTCACGTGTGTTCCCTGGAGATGGGTTCGTTAACACCTTCTTCACGCTACCACCCAAGTGGTATGATGTAGCATTTTTCTCTGGGACAGGGTTCTGGTATAGGCATTCCAGTGCCACATGTCTAGCGAAACAATCTTCAGTGTCTTTTCGACTCGGAAAGACGAGATAAATACTCACAACCATGCAGCCAGTGACAAAAATGAAAACAGTAAAAATGTTCATTCTGAAGGAATGCTTTGGGTTTCTAGGCGAGAATTGTTCTGAATTTGGGTCCATTTAGGAGTCTGGACCCTATTTAAATACTGCAACCAGATATGATATCCATTGACGTCTTTCACTGTCTGTGAACCTTTTACTGTTGGAATCCGGTGCATATTTGCCTAAACACCAATAAGATACGGCACCTAGGCTGTGACTGGGTTGTATAGGCGCTCAGCACAATCATGTTTTGACTCTTATAGTCATTTGACTTGTTTTCCGAACTGTCCTTGGAGTAGGATAGAGTCCAGCTACTTAAAATGGGACGTCATCCAAATCTATGTCTGTCATGGGTTTTCTATTTCGTGAGTCAAAGTCATATAGAGAAATAGACATAGAAGGATTGAAGCGGTATCGGCGAAGATATGACTGAGGTCATTAATAGCTATCGCTACGATGCAACTACAATGAGTCGCCAAATCAGGATAAAAAAAGCCCTCTATTCATGGATATTCATCTTCGTCGATCCAATGATCCCTATACTTCAAGACATCGTGTAATTGCATGGAAGCCAAATAGAAATGATGGTCGCCTTACCATTGTACCAAGCTTCTAGCATTTCAATGCTTATACATAAACTAGTAAGAGCTGAGTTGTATAGACACCTGGGGGTGATGGTTTTGTACTCCCATGGAAACCGGAGTGAAGGAAAGATTCAGGCGGCTATTATTTTAGTTGAAGTCACAATGGTGGTCTCATGTCCAATGACAGTAGCATGAATACAATAGGTATCGGTGGGTCCATGGGAGATGGGCCGGCGTCGCCTAGGAGATATCAGTGATAAATATGACAGTGCAGACAATAGGACTAGGCGCTCATTGATCATAACATGCTACGATCATCTATGCCTATTACAACGATAAGTCAGGGTAGGATCGATAATGAATCCTCTCTTTGAGTATCGCCATGTCGTCACCCTACTAAAAAGGTCATACCATCCATATCCATTAAATCGCGTTTCAACAGTATAAGTTGCTCCCCTCAGTGACTCAAGGATCGCTGTATTTGATTACTCAGATTAACATTAGTTGTATAGAAATGATGGTAGTTTTATACCAATGTAGGCGGTGTCGTGCAAATTCATAAAAACTAGATGCTCTGCCTGGCTTGACAGATAATTTCTTCTCCCCGAAAGCAAGTTACAGGTAACCATCCCACCATGTCTCAGATCGACCCCGACTTTGTGCCTATCCAAGTACTTGCGAGGCAGGTGTCCGATTCCTGGTTCAATGCGGTTATCATCGAGTCTCTACTTCACGGTAAGATCTGTATTCAACCTCGCGGCCTGCCTAGTACTTACCGTGATGTAGGGATGTACACAGTTTTGCTCTCCGTAGTACTGTGGCGAATAGGTACTTCGTTAACCTTTTCTTATAGCATCCAGGCTGATATTTCTGCGCTTTAGTGTCGAGTAACACCCCCCATAGAGCTCAGACAAAGGTCCTTACTGGGATCTCAATAGTCATGTATATCATGGCTGTGATGCACATCTCTGTGAGGTGGTTCTATGCCAGGCGGGCATTTATCGTTAATGGAGAGACCGAGGAAACGAGGTTCTTCGCCCTCACAGATTCGCTTGTTGCCGGCGGTCTGTTGTGGGTCCCGACTATCAGTAGTGTGGTCGGGAGCATCAATATATTGACCGCGGATTGTGTCATTGTATGTCTCTCATCAGACTATGAGTGCTGTAGTGATATTCATTCGCATTAGATTTGGAGGTGCTGGATTATTTGGCAGAGGAACTGGAGAATCATCGTCCTTCCTTCCATATGCACGCTATGCGGAACAAGTAAGTGACTACATTTTAGCTTGGATGAACTCTAGTTCCTCACGAAGTGCAGTATTCGACATTTTCTTCCTTGTCCAGGAGCTAACGCCGTTGACCGATCAACAAGGAAAGCCTGTGACTCCCTGGGGGAGTGACTCTATCAACTGGGGAGTGGCGTATTATAGTACGACACTCTCAACGACGATTATCTGTACGGCTCTGATTGTATTCCGGCTGATCCGAGCGAACAGAACCGGGAAGTCTCTACGTTTCGCGCCGAATCCGTACCATAAAGTCATGGAGATAATGGTAGAATCTGCTGCATTATATGTCGTGGCACTGGCAGTATACATTCCGTTCATCGCGACGAATAGTCCATATAGCAATTACCCACAGGTTGTTCTTGCCTCGGTTACCGTGAGCTAGGAATTTTTTCGTTAAGAAGAGAAGACTTACTCATGATTTGGGATAGGGCATCGCACCTACTCTCATACTTCTTCGTGTCGCGTCTAGAAGCCCAGGTCAGCGTTCGCCATGTAATAGTCTGTATTCACAGCCTTCAGTGAGCCTGTCGAGGGCAGATACTGAAGGTAGTGTCACATCTGTGGAGAAGGACGATGTGATACTCATTACCCCGGGGAGAAGGGTTGAAGCTGTATAAGCTGTTCGCTGTGATTATGATCCTAGAGATCATATTTAATCAACTGTATTAAACGGAAATAAGCATAGCTACCTTCTTTATCCCATACATATGAAGATAAATACACCGATATTACTATCATAACACCCAAAAAAGGAAGAGGATCGATGAAAGGAGATACCCCGTCATTGTGGATGCAAGACCCACAGTTATTGATGGAACATTAGGTAGATAATGGAGAATTTCTTTTCATGGTTGGATGGTTTCACTGAAAGCACGACTATTAGAAACCAGAGTCCGGGCGAACTAGCCAGATTATAAACTCCAGCCTCAAGGGCCTGGCGACGTCAAAAAGAAAGACTCGGATTCCGAGGGAACGCACAAATGAGCTTCAAAATTTTTGAACGTTCAGAACTTTCAAGGTTGGTTCAGGAATGGTACATAGAGTGTACACTCATAAACACGCGGTTGGTGCATGCCACCTCTGCAGTTTGGTGACGGTGTAGGGAAGTTGAGATGGACGGCTCGGCAAGTCGGCATTTCCCATCCGGGCCGTTGCGTCAAACAAGGACAACATTTCCGATTTTCAAATCTTCGATCTACACCCTCTCATTCGCAGCTTTAACATCCTCCCTCTTGGCATGGCGTCAGTCTCGGTCACTATCTGACAACATGACTGAGCATTAGAGATCGATTGGTAATGCTCTTCTCACCTGATAATTCCGCCATCTTGCTCACAAATAAATAGCCATTCGTCCTTCGAATCATCCTCATCTTTCTTCCACAACATGTCAAGCACACCCGTGGCTGTTATCGCAGGTGAATCGCCCTTTCAGTACTCAAGTACTCAGTCCTAATAGTCAACATTACCGATGCGTTGGCATGGTTTAGGTCTTGGTTCGGGGTCCGGTACAGGCGCGGCAGCAGCATACGCTTTCTCTACTCCTGCTTTCCACTACGATCATCTGAACTTTACCAGTCGTCTCTTTGCCAAGGAAGGCTACGCCATCGCCCTCATAGCCCGTGGCGCTGACTCTCTCAAAGCCTTCTGACGAGATCAGCAATGCCGGCGGGACCGCCGCTTCGTTCCCCATCACCTCGTACAGTACCACAGATATCAACGCTGCCTTTTCCCAAATCCACTCCCATTACCAAGGCCAAGCCATCCATGTCGCACTCTACAATGCAGGACACGGCGTCTGGAAGCCATTCCTCGATATCACACCCGAGGACGTCCAAGCTGTGACGCAAACCAATATCGAGGGCGCTTTCGCATTCTCGAAGCACATTATTCAGGCGTTCCAGGCCAATTAAGTTGATGAGAAGGGGAAGAGAGGGTCATTGATCTTCACGGGGGCCACGGCAAGCGTGAGAGGGAATGTCACGACCAGCGCATTCTCGGCTGGAAAACATGCATTGAGGGCGTTGTCGCAGAGCCTGGCGAAGGAATTTTGAAAACAGAACATCCATGTATCGCATGTAAGTGCCTTTCTCTTACCGGCTTTGATCTAGAGACTGACTGGGCGTTGTAGGCAATTATCGATGGCGGCATCTTGACGAATCTGGCTCGGCAGCGTCGTAATGACCAAACGTGGGAGAAGAACGAAGACGTTAGGTTGTCGCCGGACGGAATTGCAGAGGTACGTTTGTATTTTTGCTATCATTACGGATGGCTAATGATGAGCCATCTTCCCTAGTCATACCTGCATCTCATCAAGCAACCTCGTTCGACTTGGACCTGGGAATTGGATCGTCAGTCACTTTCATCTTCGCTTCTAATTATTTGCTGATGTGAGAGTTCAGTGCGTCCTGCTCATGAGAAGTGGTAGAGCATTTGATGTATTGTCAAGGTCGAACACCGTACTATAATTTCAATCGTGTTTTCCTTTGTACAATTACGAAGTATGGTCTTTTCTACCTCTAATGGATTTGGAGCGTACTGAAGGCTATGTCTGTTCCAACGAATGTGATATATTGAACTGAGAATCTTTCTTGGCAACGTGATCCGAGTACCTACTTGATATAGTATCAAGGAGGCGTTCACGCTCCTTTGGATACCATCGTGCAATTTGCAGAAACTGAAAAGTCACATTGTAGGGAGAAGAGAGGCGTATCGACCCTGATGGCGGATCGCGATCATTTACCACGACGATTTCAGTGACGGTGAAGTGTCCTAATCGGAATCGGTGAAACATGTATCAAGGACTTTCCGGCAATAGAATTGTCAGAAGGTATCTGATTCATCACTCCTTTTAGGCAACGATGATTTACGCTTTCATTAGCGGTGAATGTATTACTCTCTGTTGAGGACAAAGCCATTGTATCCGGGTATCGACTAGGAGGGATGAACGGTATATTCTTCAACTTCAAAATGTTACTCATAATGTGCCGCACCATCATATCTCCTCAATATCCGTGCATGCATACTCTATACTTCTGCCATCCCCGAAAGTCTTACTCCCTCTCGGTAAACACGTTCCTGTCCAAACACCCCAAGCAGCCCACCGATTTCAGCCGTATTGTCTCGTGGCCTACCCAGTCATCGACCTCTAAAATTCTCCTGCTGGTACCTTTTAACTCAAAGATTTTTGACTGCGTTCAGTCTACTGTCTGCAGAAGACCGCCACGCATTGATGTGTTTAGGGGTGAGGCGCGACCGCCTTGTTCCATGGGTCGTCGGAGCTTTCAGCCGTCAGTCAACTTTTCATCAGCGACTTCAATGGCCATTCGTACTACCTCCATTTCACACTCTTTCTCTCCGGTAGCGCGTATCTGAGGAGCCTATCTTGTTAAAACAGCTAGGTAAGTTTATGGTTCTACTTGCTGTCCCCATCATTCGTCTGTCGTTCTGTTCCTTGTATTACAGTCGGCTCGCAGCACGCAGTACTCCTTACTGGAGATATGGATCATGTTTCTTGGCGGCAAGCAGGATGTGGCTGAACACTAGTCGCACTCATCATGCATTAGGCAACATGTGTCACTGGGCATTAGCAGAATCATGGATGGAGAAATGTTTGTCTCGTAATTGTGTTTCCGATATTTTTACCATGCTGACAGTGCAGTTCTATTTTAGCGGGCCGAAACCTTTGGACTTTCCCTAGTACTATTTCCCTACATTTCGTCCTCCCGTTTAAAATTCTTTGGATTGCTGTTTCTTCTTCTCCCTGACGGCGCAGTAGCTAACCGAAGTTAGGAGAAAAGCTCAGGCTGTGCTGTTAATACGGATGAGCACCGGTGGCTATACAAATCACCACACACCAAAATGGCCCAGTTTACGATAGAAGGAAGAAGTATGGGAGGGCGTAATTAAAGGACCGGTACCCCAACTCGAGGTTCGATATCATCTGAGGTGTATCATTCGTTCAGATTCCCTTCAATAATCACCATCACGGATGTTTAAACGCTCGAAAATTCCACGTGCCATCTCTCTGAACGGTTCTGCTGCTGGAAGGGCATAGACGGTTTATTTGTTATCATTCCTCACGTTGCTATTCCGTAATACAGGTGGTGTACCTACGGTATTCGTATAAAACTGGTATGGATCACGAGGGGAATCGGGCATAGGCTTCCAAGAGATGAAACGTATTCACCAGGAAGGCAGGAAGGTTTATTGTGTACGACAGATAATATAGTGTCGGCATCGTGGCATGCATGAAATGGGGAAATGTAGTGCCAAAAGCGGACTTGATTATACACGTTAGCTCTTGTATTATATATTTATCGATGTATAACATCTTACACCTCGCGACACGACGACTTCCCGAATTAACACTTCTCCATTCACAACATTATGGCTATAACGGTCAACCCCTTCCTGTCTAATAAACGCCATAATCCATGCGTGTGTGTTAGAGCTCCTCAAGACGCATGCTTCTTCTCTGTGGAAGAGCTGATGAACAGTTCCTCATTCGAGCTAGACATTCGGCGGGGTGGGATTGAGCATACATTGATGGGGCACTTGATGGGAGTTATCACGGCGCCACATGTCTGTCGCGAAGGTCAGTCTCTTTGAATCCAGGATGTGAAATGAACACCCACAGCCGTGGTACAAGCGACAACGATTAAAAGAGCAAAGATATTTATTCGCTAGGAATGTTTTGGGTCTTCTGGTTCACGGTGCAAATTGGTGTGGCTGTTAGTCCACTTCTGTCCTCCTTTATACTGCTCAGACCCATTGTTCCTATTCAAGAACCATCCTATTCTGGGTTCTCTGAAGCCTTTTTGGGAAACACTAGTGTCATTGTTTGTACGAAGCTGAACTGTGGTTCTTTTCTGAAGAAAGCCCTACCTGCGCAGCGCGCCACAATATCCATGAGGGGGATCATTACATGAAGATCAGGTAAGTAGGTCGCAGATGCTCTGCTTCACTGTGGATCTTGGAGTCCACTTTTAAAGGACTTGAGGTTTATACCCAATGGCTATGATTGATTGTGTAAGACCGGGCTCTCTTGATGACAATAGTTCCGAGCTAAGTCGTATTGGCACTTGGTTGCTGTGCTTTTGGAGTCCCATAAGGAATAAACTGGGTCGCCCAACCTTTACTTGGGATTCATCAGATGTAAGGTCTCCTTGAAATATATCTCTGGCCGAAGCTGTGATCATACTGATTTCATGCTAAGTGCTGATTCTAAGAGTCAAATACATATCAGGGGAGGCAGGCTGCCACGCTCAGATCCAATAAATACCCATGATTTTCATTGTTGTACACCGGCCAGTGAGTCATAGCATCTACAAGAAATAATATTCTCGAGGTTACTGTGGAATTAAATTAGCATAGTTGTCTGAGTGCTTACCTGCTCCACTACTCCATGGCTGGAACGACCCTTATCTTCAAATCAGAATGAATTTATGCCTTTCAATGCGTTACATTTAGAATTTCGAGTCCATCATTTCAGGTTTGTATCACGGTAAGCGATGTGGATCAAATAGTTATCCTGTTGATTATGAAGTTTCTGTTTTTGGAACCGAAGTGTGTAGGAAATTGGGTTACATCGCCTTGGACTCCTGTAATAACTTGCTTCTCCCGGACTGAATTGAGAATCATCCCTCTGATTACATAAGGCATGTTTTGAATTCATCATCTGCAGGAAATTGGGTTTACCGCTGGTTTCACTGGGTTCCCATGCCATGTTACCTGCTAGTTATCTGCCATGCCCATACTGGGCAGGTGGGCCCCACGCATTCAACAATTTATTTTGAGGTCGTTTCTTCATTGACCCTCATAAGTCTTGTATATATAAATTGAATATATTCATATAAACCATGCAGTAAAAATTTGTGGCTCAAAACGCGATGAGGATAACGCTATTCACTCAACACGCAATTCCCCGCCAAAGTTATCTGCCATCAGCCCCTATAGTTATCTGCCATCATCCCGAGTTTCACCCGCGTGACTGTTCTTTCTCTAATCCTGTCACATATTCTGTCCCTAGTCATGTCGCTTAGTTGCTACTATCATAGTGATGTGTTTGTGTCAGTCTGGTATGTTCTTTTTGTGATATAATGTGGGTACACATGCTGAAAGAACTTCTTTGCATAAATAGCTCACATTTTTCATTTTTCAAGCTCTGTCTCCTGCAGCATGGCATGTCCAAGCAGTGTGAAGGATGGACCAAGACCAGACAATGCTCCAAGGAGAGGACAGCCACCAAAGCCACAAGATATTCCATCCCAGGAGGAAAATGGTCAGTATGTCTCATTCCGGAGTTCAGATATTCTACTCACTGTATGCGACATCTGTAGACTCGGATGCAATGATGAATACGAATTTGATGATGAGGAGTACTCGGAGGAGTTTTTGAGGAGGCTGGATAAGGCTGAAAGCAATGCCATAGCCAGTAAGTTGATTCTCCTTTCAATTTCGGAGTTTTTCCTGATTTTCTGGCTGCCTCTTAATGCAGAGCTCAAGCGATTGAAAGCAGAAGCAGACGCCTGCAAGAAACGTCTTGTAGACCTGCAGGAGGCTGTGAATGATCCGCTTAGCTGTATGAACCATTCTTTTCATTGCAACATGGGATACTCATATTTTCCTATAGAACCATTCTTTAATCCACTTGCAGGACCCCTCTCTGATGCGGCGAGTGACGAGGATGAGCACTTGGACTCCCAAAACGAAGCTGAGACACTACGTGTCAGTTGCAATACTGGGGATGAGCCAGCAGCGCAAAGACCTAATGCAAATGATGAACCTGGAGGTATGTCGCACCTTCAAAGTTTCCTTGTAAAAAAATTGAGACGTTTTTCACTAGTGTGGTTCGATAAGCCAAAATATATGCAAGACTGGCTGTACCGGTACTTTGCTACAGTTATACACCCACTTATCCACAATAAAAATGGCGGCAAGATCCTGCTTGCGCCGCCAACATTCACAGAGTCTAAACCTTATGCCCCGCCAACACTCTGGATCCATTCTCCGGAACCTGTCATGTCTCTCTCTGTGCATCGGTTTGAGCCCACCCTTCTCTTCCGCCTACATGTCTTGCTTTGGCTTGTACATTTCTTTGTCGATGTATTATCTTGTCCCCAATACAGAAAACCACTTGAAAAGAATGGTGCGCTGCCACCTCATCATGTCATAGACCTCAAAGATTCATTCTACATCATCGCATGGGCATATTATTGCCGGCAGGACTGCCGCTCACATTTTCATGGGTGGAGCCAGCATCTTCTAAACTCATTACCCCCCATATGTGCATATGGCTTTTCCTGCTGTGCTCTCCCAGAAAATAGGCCTGTCATGCAACATTATCAGGACTCTCCGTGTTGGCAATCAGCATAAGATGGGACCATCCGGTGTTCACTCACTACTGTTTGAAATGCACACCCATCGATTCAATGTAATACAGCTCCAGTATTTAGAGTCAATCTTCGAGTGGCTTCACACTCGAGAATCAGCCAATGCTGATTTGCACAATTACTTTGACGCCTCTATGAAAGTCCCTTTGATCAGAAATTTCAGTGATGTAGATGGCTACAGTGGCTTCATTCCCAGTGAACGCTATCTTACCGCCATGTTGAATAAAGCCATTGAACGGGATGAAGCTGATGCCAACCAGCATACATCTTTACTTGAACCAGACCAGCTGGCTATTGGCGACTCTCACAAGGTCTGCCAAGGCATATAAACTCAACGCGAGTAACAACTGGCTGTGACAGTGACAGGGCTTAGCTCTGCCTGTTCTTCCTCCAACCACTCAAGAAGCTTGCCGCTACTTCTTTGCTCAGATACGCATTTTCTCTGTGAATGCAAGTGCTGATGGCAAAGGCAGAGTTGATTATGAAGCATTTGCTCAGGAATGGAACCAGATGGCAGATGGAACTAAGCGTGTTTATGTCTCTCCGGAGGTCCTGGCTGCATATTCAAAATCATGGGGGAAAGCAAACAATATCCGAGCAATGGTGGACTTGATGTCTGATGGGCTTGAAGAAGTACGTCGCAGCAGTGAAGTATTTGCAGCTGCAGATCTTCCATTCCCAGATTATTTGGCTGGAGATGCGTCATTCACTCATCCAAGTCAAGGTGTGGTTGAAATAGATTCAGAACAGTCACTCCCTCTGAATTTGCCAGTTTCGACGGCTCCCGCTGCTTCGCATTCTTCCTGATTTACTGATACACTGATATCCACCCATCCCACAAGCAGTGGTGCACCTCGATCCACTCCGTCCCCTGCACCTATCCCTGCTACATTTGATGAGCTTCCTACAAGTCCTCATCCAATTCCTGCATCCCGTACTGAACCGGCCCAAAATCAGCCACTAGGTGAGCCTCAATCAGATTCCCTGTCCATAGTTGTTAGAAATGGCAGTTCCAGCAGCCATCAGCACATGGACATGGAAAGAGAGAGCAAGAGAAGACGTACCGTACCTACAGAGGAGAGGAAACGCTGTAATATCCATAGCTGTCGACGCTGCCGCAATGAGACTTGCCCTAGAGGTAATGACATTTTGCGGTGTCAGATTGCATACACTATACCTTGCCGATGGTGCAGGAGACTGGATGAATGTCGGGGCGTCGATGGAGGGAAAAAATGCATGGCCCTCCGGGCTTGAATTAGTGTATGTCGAGGCAGAGAGTGAGGCAAATGAACGGCGATCAGTGTTGTCTTTTAAATATAACATGAACAAACAAACGTGGGTGGTCGCCCATTTTGGCACGCGAAATCTTTCTTTTTTTATTATTTTTCTCCTTTTGGGACCTCCGACACCCAGTGAAATGGATGGAAAACTGGAAATCGTGACGGTATGGGCGTCATATCCAATGGATTCAAAGATGTCTGGATCCCCGGGATATCCATGAAGAAGTAAGTCAATACAATAACAGCAGACGAGAATGGTAAGACAGGCTATTCTTTCATCATCCCTAAGGAAATGATCAAGACCTGTGCATCTCAATACTGTGGCCTGGACACTCTCATCAGTGAGTCACGTATTCCTATTCTTAGGATAGTTAGTCTGCAATTACTCTGCTTAGAAATGATGGTGGTTTTATAGACACTTCGACGTGTTCATAATCCTTGCATATTTTGTTTTGACTGACAGATACTTTCTCCCCTCTCGATATCCCGACAGGTAGCTTGACGACATGTCACAAATTGACCAAGTAACTGCAATACAGTTGTCTGACTCCTGGTTCAATGCAGTTATCATCGAGTCCCTAGCACATGGTGCGATGTATCTTCCAAACTACATCTGCTGAAGTACTGATCGCAACCTAGGTATATACACGGCACTAGTGGCAGTTTTACTGTGGCAGATTTGTGCGTAGTAAACTCTTCCAATGAGATTGTGATAAAATAAGGGCATAGTGCCGATCAACATTCTCCATAGGCATCAGACGAAGGTCCTAGTTGGAATTTCCATCTTCATGTATATCATGGTAACGATCCACATCGCTATGAGATGGTATTATGCTAGACGGGCATTCATCACAAATGGGCAGACAGAGGAAACCAGGTACTTCGCACTCATAGACTCACTTATTGCCAGTGGTCCATTGTGGGTATCGACGATTGCTAGTGTTGTCGCAGGTGTGAATATATTGATGGCAGATTGTGTGATCATAAGTCTTGTGGAAGCTCTCTATAAGATCAATATTTTGATGCGACATTTTCCTAGATTTGGCGGTGCTGGGTCATATGGGGAAGGAATTGGAGGGTCATCGTCCTTCCATCCATATGCACAATCTGTGGGATACGTAAGTCACTACGACTCTGAACATAACTCGAATTGCTCACTATTCCAAGTCTTCGATGTTTTCTTCTTGATTCAAGAGTTGACACCCTTTACTGGTTCACAAGGGGATTCTGCGACTCTGTGGGGAAGCAACTCTATCACATGGGGAGTAGCATACTATAGCATGACACTCTCGACGACAATCATATGTACGGTGCTCATTGTGTACAAGCTAGTTCAAGCAAGAACTACCAGCTTGTCTCTATCCGTTCCCGCTAATCCGTACCACCGAGTCATGGAGATCATGGTAGAATCGGCTGTATTATATGTTGTCACGCTAGTGGTCTACATCCTGTTCATTGCAATGGATAATCCATACAGTCTTTATCCACAAGTTGTTCTGGTTTCTGTTACAGTGAGTCTCGAGTTATATCCTAATCATCAAGGGAAAATTCTCACTGAATTTTCGCAGGGCATTGCGCCGACTTTGATACTCCATAGTGGTACCTACAGATAGGATTTCAATATAAAATTTAGAGCCAGTTTTACCTAAAAGAAAACTGAGTCCCGGTGTACAAGGGTGAATTGCCTAGTCCTTCATCGGCACCTTCCCCTCAGCATTCGTCGTTGAGGGGTCCTTGCTCTGCCTTTTAAGCAGAACACCATTTGGACCTGTCCAATGAGCATTTATTGTCCCATCTGATAGGTCCATTGAATCCACAGCGGAGACATCACTCCTTCGTGAATTCTTGTTTTTTACCTCCTCCCAATGCGGTTTTGGGGCATCCCTGAAATGGCATCGATATTGGCCCTTGCCTTTTTATCTCATGCCATTTCCATTTATCAGTGGGGCACCTCTGGTCCCGACTGAAGTGCCCTGCATTTCTGCATCGGAAGCACCTTCTTTCTTTCTTGAGACGATCCATGTCCATCCCTTCGAGGCGTGACATGCCTTGGGATTGGGAAAGGGAGGGGACCCTCTTCCCTAGTTCTGGGTCTAGAGTCGTGGTCCAAAACACCTCAGATGGTAGGTGTGGTGTGGTCCAGTCTCCCCCAGATTTCTTTGTATCGAAGACGTCTCTAGTGCTGAAGTTCAGCACCAAAGATGTGGATGGTCTCGTCACCTTCTCCTTCCTCCGGGGCTGTTTGGTATTCCTTTCCGATGAGTATGGGGGTGGAAAGTGAGTCCCATGGTTCTTCATAGATGGCCGTTTGGGCCATGGGGTTGGGCCATATAGCCTCATACGAGGTGTCCGGCCAGGGGGATTCCCAACCATCCCCAGTGGTGGGGAGCCAGGTGTCATTGGAGGACATGGGGGGTAGCTCCCAGGATCCCTCTTCAGGGGTGATCCAGAAATCCACTGGAAAGACAGTCCCCCAATCCAGTATCCCTTTTTCCTCGGCCACTCCTCTTTCTTTCCTGGCCAAGTTGTGGATTCAGCCCGCAATTTGGAGAGCGACTTGATGGTACCATTGATATACCTGGCTACAGAGGCCAGCAGATCTTTTTGAGGCGACTTCGGATTCGAGCCGGATGACTTCTGATCCCCATAGAGAACTAGTGTTCAGACTCCAACTGGAGATGTTCCTTTTGGTATCGGAGCCTCCAATGGAGACGCCTGACCAAATGTGGACTCCCCATGCCTCTCTTGGAGTTCTGGGGGAGGAGTAGATTCCCCTGTCGAGCTCTGAGGTGTGAAGCATCGGTTTGGCATCTCTGAATGATTCTGGGGATTCATCTCTTCAATGTCCTCCTGCATCAGTCCTTCCGATTGTGGTTTGGCTACCTTCTTGATCGACTCCCCGGGTCAGGAGGAAAGGATCACCGATCCTTTCAAAGGTGGTTCTTTGCCACTTCATTCCGTTAGCAACATTTTCATCACCCTCTTCCAGAGTTCGTGCATTGGTGAGTTGGTTGTACTCATCAGTGTAGAACTGCTGGATATTGGGGGTATTGGGATTGTCCCAGGATCCCTCGGTATCTTCCCAGTATCCAGTCGCAAATTGTGGATTTCCGGAGTACTGGGTCTGAAGGTGGTTGCCTCCTGTGATGGGGTGAACAGGAGCTGATCCATCTCGTGGGTAGGATCGATCACTGCGGTACAAGGGGTACCTTACTAGGGATGTAAGGGTTTCCAGGACGTGAGTGATGGTAGCATTTATAGGATTCATACAGTCACCGTCGTTGAACAATGGGGAGAGTATAAAATATTTCTGGAGGGGTGAGCAACCCCAAGGATTTGTCATATAGCGACAAGGGTTCCTTATTTGAATGCTCCGGATGCTGTGATCATTCTGTTACTGAAAACAATGATGGCAGTTACGGTAGAGCCTGTTACTCGCCCACTGAATGGGGGTCGGTGCTCTTAAGGGGTATGAGTTGGCCGGATGATGTGGATAACTGCAACGGCAGCTAATAGTGCCAAGGTACTGAAGGTACTTTCCAAGGATAATGGTAGTGCAATCTGAGGAGGTGAGAGGCGCAAGGCTCGTTGTATCACAACGAATGCTCTACGTTCTCGAGGGTACGGTGGGTGCCGTCTAGACGATGGGCTGAAGGTTTCCTTTCTTTGAAAGTATAACAGTGACTGCCTTGAAGTGGTACAGTTACCGTTTGACAACGGTAAGGGTAGTAAGGGCAAGCTTCGGCTAATTGTTAAGCACTAACTCCAACCTTCGCCAAAGCTGGTCTCTATCCTGTCACTCGCGTTCGGTGATTCAGTGTTAGAGAGGCATTGGTAGATTGCGAGAAGTTAGGTGTCACTTATAGCGAAAGTAAGGAGCTTGTAAGAGTTAGGAGTATATAACCTTAGCCGAAGCTGGGGTCTAAGGCCACAGCGTAGGCTAGCTTAAATACATGTTAGACTTGTACTAAGAATAGTGTCTACAAGGGTGCATGCAGTGAGCAGTGCGTTGTTCAACGAATGAGGAGTGAGGACACTAAAAGAAGTGTACTCCCAATGAATGAGAGCAAAGAGCACATATCACCTGCACCTGTGTGGGACTCCATCTGAATGGACTACATCCCATAGACCACCCTCAACTGGTGGTCGACTCTCGTCCAACTACTAAGAAGCATGATGGTGCATGCGGGTCACTGGTCATCTGGGAGGCGGCAGCATGAACTGGGGTGATGGCAGCCGGGTAACCGGGTAAAGAGTGTGCCGGCAGAATATCATGAGTCCAGGAGATAAGATAGGTAGGTCCAGGGTTCCGAGAGATAAGGATAAGATAAGATAAGGAAAATAGGGGTAAAACCATAATAATAGCACTAGTTGCATTGACATCAAGAAGTTCCTATGGCTATAAATGTGTGCTGGTGTTACACGTCTGATTTCCAGGTAAGTCCAAGACAATTGATCAGTGTTGTTGATATTCTACTTTTGATTCTCACTTGAAGCAGAAAGCAGTGCCGGTTGTACAAGGACTAGTATTGACCATCTACAACCTTTCAGAACATTTGTCTAAAATTCGTATCGAGCATTAGAAAACATTTTGAGATATTGGTGACCTTCTGGGATGTGGAATAGAATCAAATTTGAATTACATCTGTTTCAGGTTGCATGTTCTGCAAATGTAGATATTCAATGGAGGAGGCCAAGACACATGTTTCACATACCTCAGGATGCATTTGTACCCTCCCCATATTTGTATACCAAAATATGGTATTTTGATCATTTCTGAAGGAATCTCAAATTGCGCAGATTGTCACTCCACGCATTAATCATTGAACTCCCTCACACTTATCTGCTCACCCTCAATATCACCACTGGTTGCCTCAGAATGATAGTTCATAACCATGTCTTCCAGAATCTTCCAACCTGTCCTGTCAGAAAAGTGTATTTTCTCCAGTAGTTATAGTGGAACCGAAAATACATTTTCTCCAGTAACTATAGGGCTGCCTTTCTAGTCACAGCCAGTGATAGGACCCACATGCATCGTCTCTTGATTACTTTTTCCTGTGCTTCCCATTCCCTTTCACAAAATCTGATCCCATCCCATGGTTCATATAAAAATAATATTACAAGTAGATACATAGAGTAAAGGAATATATTTAGTCATTCAATATGTAGATAAAATATGGCACTGGTGGGCGATATTGATGGCATTGATTAGGAGGCATGGCCAAAAAAGGGGATTATTGCACTGCCATAGTGGCTGATACAAGCAGGAAAAATTGGGTGCTGGGATAGGGAGCAGGCATATGGCAGCTACCACGTCAATCGGCAGGTAGCAGCAGGGGCTTCCATGATTGTGCAACCATGAATTTGGGCACATCTATTATGGTCTCAAGTACCCTTTCAATGGCCAAAAAGATGTGCTTTCCATTGTCGTCGCCTGCCATCCACATCCCGACCTCCCTCGCACCCTCGCGCCCTTCTGCACCTCTCCAATACACCTTATCCCCCTCCATCCCTTAGCTGCCATTTTTCATGACTATGCTTCTAAAGACCTCCACCCTCATGCCATTGCTGTTACCTCCCTGGCTGCCACCGCCATCATTGTCCCGCATATGGTGAGGAAAAGAAGTGGAAAAAGAAGTGGCACAGCCACTTGATCACTCCACAGTTTCATGGACCAGAGCGATTGGGTGAGTGGAATGAATACTGGGGATGCATCCTCTGCCCCATTCCTGCATCCTGAATGCCCGAGAATCATCGGAATGTAATGATATTGTATTATACAGTATAGTTATATACTTTCCTATATATTAAATAAATCCCAGCATTGATTAATATGCATTTTACGGTTGAAAAACCGCATTTTGGTTCATTTGCTAGCATATACTCATTGTATGCTGTTCTATACACTGTAGAAAAGAATATGATGGGCTGCATATGCAAGATTATATAGTATACTATTATGGTTTTACCCCTATTTTCCTTATCTTATCTTATCCTTATCTCTCGGAACCCTGGACCTACCTATCTTATCTCCTGGACTCATGATATTCTGCCGGCACACTCTTTACCCGGTTACCCGGCTGCCATCACCCCAGTTCATGCTGCCGCCTCCCAGATGACCAGTGACCCGCATGCACCATCATGCTTCTTAGTAGTTGGACGAGAGTCGACCACCAGTTGAGGGTGGTCTATGGGATGTAGTCCATTCAGACGGAGTCCCACACAGGTGCAGGTGATATGTGCTCTTTGCTCTCATTCATTGGGAGTACACTTCTTTTAGTGTCCTCACTCCTCATTCGTTGAACAACGCACTGCTCACTGCATGCACCCTTGTAGACACTATTCTTAGTACAAGTCTAACATGTATTTAAGCTAGCCTACGCTGTGGCCTTAGACCCCAGCTTCGGCTAAGGTTATATACTCCTAACTCTTACAAGCTCCTTACTTTCGCTATAAGTGACACCTAACTTCTCGCAATCTACCAATGCCTCTCTAACACTGAATCACCGAACGCGAGTGACAGGATAGAGACCAGCTTTGGCGAAGGTTGGAGTTAGTGCTTAACAATTAGCCGAAGCTTGCCCTTACTACCCTTACCGTTGTCAAACAGTAACTGTACCACTTCAAGGCAGTCACTGTTATACTTCCAAAGAGAAAGAAACCTTCAGCCCATTATTTAAAATGGCACCCACCATCCCCCGAGACCATAAACATTCGTTGTGGTACAACGAACTTTATGCTGCTCACCCCCTCAGACCACACTGCCATTATCTTCGGAAGTACCTTCAGTATCTTGACACTAGTAACTGCAGTCGCAGTTCTTCATATCCTCTGACCAACCCGCCGCCACAGAGCACCGACCCCCGGAAGAGAGAGAGTACACGGGCTCAATGGCTCATCAACAGGAACCTCACGAACAACAAGCACCGTCCAACTCCGGTCCCTCACACCACAGCCAAGGGGGGAGCAAGACACACTTCGACACCCCTTACCCAATGGAGAAGAGCAACCCCCCACACTTGAGCTTCAGGGAGAGGATCACCGAGACGGTGAAGGCGAAGAATCCCTTTGGGAAGAAGAGCTCGGACGACTCGGCATCCCTCCAGACAATGGAGATGACCAAGTCGACCCCAGATTTACCACCAAGTACTGGACCAACACGGACGGATCCTGGGATGACACGACATGGGGCGATGACAATGACTCCAAGGAGCCATCCATCGCCTCCACAGAGTTATCCGCAGCCATCCAAGGGTTCGACGATGATGGAGAACGTCTCTACCGGAGAGGAACAAGTGGGTTCTACCATGACGTATTCGATTGAATTGTCCATGGACGAACCAGGTGAAGAACCACCTTTGAAGAAGGTGAAAACCTGTTCCTCCCTGCCTGGGAATGAGGGGAAGTATGGGGGATACCTGACACAGGAGGACATCAAAGAGATGAATCTCCTGAGCCAGAGTGGCATGACGCTCCAACCTCTTTCACATCATACACCCCCGATGGAACCTACAGAGTTGAAGGACCCCCATCCTGGTGGGACGACGAGTCCGTTCATGAGTCAGACTTTGTCTGGCCTTCCCCCCATCCCGAGTCCAAGGTCTTACACTGAACCATTATCCACATCGCCGACCTCAGAGATTTCGCTGAGCCACGATTTGCCCACATCTCAGAAACTTCCACTAATGACACCATCAAAGACGGACCCGATGATGTCATACTCGGACGAGCCAAGGACATCATATTCACTGAGTACTCTGACAGTAATAATGAAGAGCTCCCAGAGTACTACACCCACCCAGGATCCCCGTTTAGTCAGGGACAGTGGGTTATCTTTCCAGGAGACACCCCCAAAGGAGACAGAATCCTCGACTGGTTTGCCGGAGACCAACCCTTTCTGGACCCTATCATCCTCCCAAACTGTGTCCCGAGGGAGCTTGACCAGACCCCCCATCCGTACTCCTACTGCAACTGTTCCATCTGCTGACGTCTTAGGAACTTGGCCGCTGACGAGTATGAGGGAGCAGAACCCCCCATCGAGCTCAAGCCCTTCCTTACCCCAGAAGGAGGGTTCCTACCCGATGGATACTATGGCTTTCTCCCACTCAGAGGCCTATGGTCCTGGGTCTGGAGATGTGAAGATGCCCTGGAGATCTGGGATGAGTACTACAGATACTGCAGGGGTGTATGGGACTGGAACGATGACTGGGATGCAGGATACGGGATATTCTCCCGATACCAGGTCATCGGTTTTCCACCCAACCATGA